GGCAAAATTCAAAATAATTTCCTCAATTTTGCAACAAACTTATCCCACTTGCTTAGAGGTGATAGAGTCAAAACATTTAATGAGTTCTGATGGAGCGAACTTTCCCATTCATTGGTGGGTCTGTGACCAGAGGCACGAAACTCTGGAAGATGTTTAAGCCCAAACTTTCAACATTGAAGAAAACCAGCTAATTTTTTAAATGTGTCCATGCTAGTTTGCAACTTCAACTTCAGTTTGCGTTGCGTTAATGTCTGACGAAATCGCGCTTTGCCTGGTGATTCACGCCAAACCAACAGAAACACACCTAATTCGCAATTTTTGCAACATTTTAAAAGATCAGTTCACATTTTCTTTGTTTTTTCTTCTTCACCCAAAATTAACATGATAATTGAATGGATTGTTTTTTTTTATCATTACAAAACTCAGCTAATTATTAAAGTTACTTTTCAAGGAGAGATTAAATACTTTTAGACGGCATAACCTTTTAAAAGTTGTGTTAAATCATCAAATTACTGCAAAAAGCTGCTAGTTTGTACATTTTACCAACAAATTTAATCTGCGTGAAAACTTTTAGTTGCAACGTTACATGCAGACAAGTTCAGATTTATTTTATGTTACATCAGCTTGAATTCTACGATAACCAGCACAGAGCAGATTTAAAAGTCTAATGTATTCAGTAAAAACAGGCGTTCCTCTTGGACAACTTTATGGCTGGTTGGAATGCATACTTTAAAAATTGAGCTTCGCGCTCTCAAAGGAACTCCTTGATGTTTTTGTTGCATTCAGCTCCTGATTGCAGCTCTAATAAAGACCCAAAAAGCCTTTGATCGACTGTCGGTGCGTGTTTTTGTGAGTCCATCTGCCCTCCGCAGACAAACCCAGAGGAGCACACACACACACACACACGCGCACACACACACACACATGCACTCACACACATACACACACACAGGCCTGAATAGAAGTGAGTTTTCTTTAATGAGAGTGAAATTTAAATCCAAGACATTGTTCGGTTTTCGGGCTGCAGCCAAGAAAAGCAGGTTCCCCTTCCTCACAAACACACCACTCAGTGACGTAATGCTTCACCGGAGCGCAGACATGTGTTGTATCAAAGCCAGTCACCTGCTGGGAGGCGAAATACATTTCAATTAGTTTTATTGTTTTGCCTCTACAAGAATTTACACTCAACTAGAAACAATAAAAGTTCACTTCAGTTGTTAAACCACCGCACCAAAACCTGGAAGCTCTTTCAGAACCCCAGAGATCCCATGCAGACATCTGACACCTCCGAAACCGCTTTCAGGAAACCCAAACCCTGACACTTAAACAGCGTTCAGGTCCTTAGACGTCTTTCACGACCGCAGAAACTTATTTACGCCAGTTTAACCCCATTCACCCCCCAATTTCCCTCAATGGGACGTTTATTTAACACCTAGAACTTTTTAGAAACTCTTGGCAACAATCAGAGCTCTTCAAAAAAAAAAAAAAAAAACTAAGAAAAAGAAATCCTTGGAAACTTTCCAAAAGCCATAAAACAAGTTGCGCTCGGACTCATTCAAATCATTGAACTTCTGAAAAGCTTGACCTTATCAATCTCAGAAGAATAGCCATTACAGAACCAGTTAAATCTTAAAATACTCAAGTAATTTATTGAACAGTTGCTAAACTTTCAAGTAAAAAACAATTACCTACCTACAGATTACTAAAACCTTCCTAATTATACATTAAAAACAATCCAACCATCTAAATTTAGTTAAGAATACAAAATCCCAAACATTTTCTGAAACCTTCCAGAGCATTTTTTATGTTCTCTAGATGACATTTAAATTTTTTTTAATTTATTTCTGCTTAATTCAGTTTAAGTTTTCATATAATGATTTCAATAAATTCTTGTAGATTTGTTTCCCCCATTATCTCTTGATGACCACAGCATGTGGTTCTAATAACTAAGAGCTACTAGACCTTGATGTTTGGCATTAGGGTCTCTTTGGTGATTTTACGTTTAAAGGTCCAGTTGGCCGCATCCGATTTAGGACCAAAACTGCGACATTTCGTACATTTTCAGCTGCTGTGGCTCTTTCTCGCTTAACTGAGTCAAACCAGCCAAACCCTTTGAGTAACCTGTTCTCCTCCTCACCTGTGGGGGCGCTGCACCAAGAACCACTGAAGGAAACAACACAAAAACCTCTGAAGATGAAATGCAAACAAAAATGGAGAGGTGCCAGATTTTAGCGGTTGTAGGATTTCTCTTTTCTCTTTGGTAAAAGATAAAGAGACATTTTTTGTGCTAGGCTAACACGTTTGCCTTGGTTGTGTTTACCCAGAATGCCCTGCGCTGTAGTCTGCTTCCTGCTTTTGGAGCGGTCTCCAGTCCACTTGTATTCACATATGCATTTGAACCGCACCAGAATTCACTTCAACTGAACTAAAACTGAGGTTTGTAGGTGGACCAGAGTTTGATTTTTGGTCCAATTACATATTCACAACTCAACAAACAAACCGGACTGTTAGAAATTTCTGAAATTTGTCCACCCAGCTCAGAATTTTTTGTTTTCTGAAAAATTTCTGAAGGTAATCTCAAAATTTCTGAGTTTTTTCATGTAATTGCTGCTCAACGGGATAATGGCAGACTAACAGTTTATCGGCCGTCTTCAGTGGCTATGCCAACTACCCTTAGCATTCACAACATGCTGTGCTAGCTACAGTGAAGCAGAAAGCAATGGTGATTGACAGCGCTAAGACCCGGCTCGTGGCTCTGATTGGACACAGCATGATGACAGTTTCAACAAATATGTAAAAAAACATTTTTCATAAAAGTTACAAACTGCAGCTTTAATTGGAACTTATTGTGATGTTAAATTAAATTTTTACAAGAAATTGATCACAATAAATGATAAACAATTTGATAATGCAAACATCCAGCAATGGGTAGGAACTAGTTCCATTACTTTTTTGAGGAAAAAATAAATAAAACAACTTTTAGGATTATTTTTCCTTCTCTGTACTTTAACTTGTGTACCTTTATTGTGAAGTATCGCTACTCTTATTTGAGAAAAATTCTGGATTTTCTATCCGCTGTGAGCAACATCTGGAGTTTTTGTTAAAATTTTATAGGTTTTATATTGAAAGAAATATGGGAAAAATTTACTTTTTGCCGTTTACTTTAATTTTTAACTTTATATTTTGCCCTATTTGATGAGGTAATTTTTAAATATTAAATGATTTTATCAGTTACTTGAGAAGACTTTACCAGCTGAGTAATTTCTTGGACGGATACTTTTTACTTTTACTTAAGTAAGACTATGATGAAGTAGTTCCACTCTTAGTTGAGTGTAATTTTTAGGTAATCTACTCACTTGTGCAGGTGGTCATAATCTTAACCCTGATTGAAGGAAATGTGGAAATAAAACTCAGAACCTCTTGATGAGGAAACATCAGAGAAGAGTTGGGTACTAGTTACATTTACTTGAGTAACTTTTTGGAAAAAATTCACTTTTAGGAGTTTTTTCCTATGCTGTGCTTTTTACTCTTACTTTAGTAAAATTTCTGGATTTTCAACCCGCTGAATGAAAAACAAACATGTTTCAACCAGAAATTCACCCGACACAGACAAACACCTGCAGTTTTTGTTAAAATTTCATTTTTTATTAAAATAAACTAATTTGGAAAACTTTTACTTTTGCCTAATTGTGTTTTTTTTGTTATTTGTATGAATTATTGTCATTTTTGTCCTTAAAATACCAAAATTTCCACTTAACTTTATATTTTTATCTGTCTGATGATGTCATTTTTTAATTTTAAATGATTGATAATTTGATCAGTTACTCAGTGCTTGAGTAAACATTTTTACAAATACTTTTTTACTCTTACTTGAGTAATTTCTTGGATCCAGAGCCGGCCCAAATCATATGCGAGCAATCCGGATGCTTAGGACCTCCACGCCTATCGGGGACCCCCAAGAGCACAGAGCCAGCATAATAATTTCTTTAACAACTTTAATTAATACAAACTAGATGCTATTACACATGGAAAAATTATTTCTATTTTATTTTTATAGTTGGTACAAATAATAGGTTAAACTCTTCCTGCTGTTGTTCCACTGCATGTTGGAGAAATTTAAGATATTAAACTTCTTAACTTGTTTACCGTTAATTCCTTGTTTTTCTGTTGATGTTACTTTCAAGTAGTTAAAATAATATGGCATATCCAAAAAGGATGTGTAAATTATTCTAGATCCAAACCTTAAAAAGGGTTCTGCTTATTAAAAATTATTTTGCTTATTTTATGAGCATCAATCGAAGAAAATAGAACACAATTCAATCAATTCTGATCAATAATATAAGGATTTAGGCCACTCTTTCTTTGAAAATGCTTGCTGTATTTAGCTGAGTTTATTAAATTAATTAAAAGTTAATCCTTTGTATTATAGCCAATATTTTTCTTTTGGAAGAAGATTTTAGTTGTTTGTGATAATTTTGTCATAATTAAAGATAGAGAGTTCAGGTATATGAAATATCTGAACCAGGGGCCCAAATTTGTATCTTTCTGAACTGAAGTCAGGGACCACACACAGTCAGTCCGAGGCCCGTATATGGCCCCTGCACCCCACTTTGGACACCCCTCAAATTATGCTAAAGCTAGCCGGTATGTTACATACATACAGCTTAGGAATGATAAAGCATCTGGTTGTGAAATGTTGATATGGGGGGCCTCAAATGAAAATATGCTCACTGCCCCAAAAATGCATGGACCGGCCCTGCTTGGATGGCTACTTTTTACTTTTACTTGAGTAGAAATGTGTTAAAGTAGTGCTGTTTTTCCTCGATTATATTTTTGGGTGCTCTACCACCTCTGCATCAGAGTAAATCAACTTTTTTTTGCCGCCAACGCGACCTGACATGCGCAGAACAGACAGGTGTTCTGATTCCCACCGCGACCGTAACATGTGTGCACTCTCACACAACAAACAAAATAATAATAATGAAAAAACAATAACTTACAGATAGGATGTGAACACGCTCAGGTTGCTCGGTATCTCCCGGAGCCCCAGGTCCGAGCAGTCCACCCGGTGCAGCAGCCCGTCCCCCTCGCACCGACAGCGGCCAGGGCAGGTGGCGTGTCCCGCTGCTCTGGAGCTCTCCTCCCGGGAATCACCGGAGCTGTTCCTCGCTGCTGCTGCTTTCTGCATCCTCACCCCGGCCTCGGAGCTCCACAACCCGACCGAGAAGACCGCAAGCACCGTTAACAAAGCCTCGAACCCCCGCATGTCCCGCAACTGGTGGAAGTTTCTTGCCCGCGGCAGAAGTGGGTGAATAAGGGGAGAGAAGTTGTGGGAATTTGTAGGTAGTTCCTCTGATGAGGGAAAGCAGGTTGTGGGAGCTGGAAGTTTGCAGCTTGGTGTGTTTCCAGGCTGGACGCGTGGAAATGCGGAGTGTGTATGAGTCCCTCCACTCAGCACAGCGGCGTGAAAAACCCCGTCCACTTATATATACACCCAGCCCCTGCGATCACAGGGGGGCCACTCCGCTTTAAAACAGCCAGATCTGGGATTCATCCCATCAGCTGCATGATTTACACTGGAGAAAAATGATTTTTTAAAATCTGATTTTGGCATTTAAGTGGGGAAAACGCTTCTTTACAGGTTTTCTATGAAACATTAAATCTGGGAACTTAAATGTGCAAAATTTGCTTTAAACTGGAAGTGTTGCATATTCAGACAACGTTATGTTTACATATATGTTTTGTAAACATTTTAAAAACACCAGCACTTTGATAAAGGCCTTTAAAATAAGTTTCCCGAACCACATATTTGTTTTTTATTTATTTTATTCATGTTTTCTTTTTCTTAACCTTGTGTTGTTTGTTTTATGGGACAGACCAGATATTAGCATTTTGCTAAATACCAGAGTTTACAAATTTCCATTAACAAAATAATAGTTTTTTAAACAAATTTGATCAACATTTTAAAGACACTAGCACATATTTTTGTATTTTGCTAATGGAAAATTACCAAAATTATTTTCTAATTAGTGAATTTTCGATTAGCAAAATGGGCTAATGGGTTTTCTTCCTGGATGGATGGATGGATGGATGGATGGATGGATGGATGGATGGATGGATGGATGGATGGATTTTCATCTTTAACTTCTTACTCACCAGGTGATTCTGCAGTAAAACATTTCCCACAACATGATGCTGCCATTTTTTCCGTCCAGATGTGACACTGGTCATTATGCCCAAACCGTCAGACATGACTTGATAAATTCAGGACTTGCTCCTCAAATTTAAAAACTGTAACTTTCCTGGATTTAGTTTACTTTCCAGATAAAATACATATTTTTTTTATCTGTTTTTATTATTATTATTATTGCAGATGTTATTCTTTTGTCGTCTTGAACTTTTTATTGTCCGTTTCATATCTGCTGATAAGATATTTGCTGGTCAAGGAGTCGACTGTTAAGCTGAATTCATTCTTAGGTTGGAGCATGGCGGTGGCACCATCATGCTGTGATGATGCTTTTCTTCAGCGGAAACTGAGAAACTGGTTGATGGAGTTAAAACCAGTAAAACCTGTCAAACATGCAGACAAATATATACTGCTCAAAAAAATAAAGGGAACATTTCACTTTAATTTTGTGTGTGGCTCCAAATCCAGAACTAATAAATTTGATTTCCATTGATGATTTTTGTGTGATTTTGTTGTCAGCACATTCAACTTTGTACAGAACAAAGTATTCAATGAGAATATTTCATTCATTCAGATCTAGGATGTGTTATTTGAGTGTTCCCTTTATTTTTTTGAGCAGTGTATTATGGGGTGGTTTAGATCAGAGCATGTTCATGGGTTAGAACGGCCTTGTCAAAGTCCAAACCTAAATCTATCACAGAATCTATGGAAAATCTCTAAATGTCCACAGCTGGGAAACCAACAACATACAGATTCAAAGGGCCAGATTTATGAGTTTACACCACACTTTTCAGATTTTTTCATTTCTTGAATCCATCGTAGAAGTTTTTTTTAATCATTTTCTTTATCTGAATTTATTTTGCATTTTTCTGTCTTCCTGTTGTTCTTTTCCATATTTTGTTCCATTTTATTTACCAGTTATTTTCAATTTGTATATTTTCAGTCGTTTATCTGCTTTCTTTTTCTATCTTTTCATGTTTCAAAGTTTTTTTTGTTTATATTTATATATAAGTATTTTTTACATCTGAGATGTAATTTCTTATCATTTTTTGTACATTTTTTATTTATTAAAATAATTTAAATATTTATTTCAACTGTTTTCCTTATTTTCTTATATGGTTACCTCCATGCAGTTTTTGTATTATTTAAACTTACGACAGGTTTTCAAGTTCTAATCTCTGTTAATTGGGAATTCTTCTACTTAATGTATCCAACTGCAAGCAAAATTAGCATGTAATGTCACTATTTTAATTATTAATATATAAGTAATTGTCAGATTAAGGTCCTGACATTCACTGATATGTATAAGCAACAAAAATCTGGCTTCAGGAGTTTATTTTTAGGTTTGTTGAAGGACCACGTGTCAGAAATCTGACAGACTGAAGTTAATGATTAATCCAGCTCACTTCTTGTGTCAGTGCATTTTATGGAAATCAGACAGAGAGGCTTTCTACGTTACAAATATGTGCAAAGGGGCGGGGGGCAGGAAAAGGTGAGATATGAAGATGTTATCAAACCCTCAGAGAGGCAATGATGATGCAACATGAGGCGACCTGAGGAAAAACACGACCAGCTTCAGCGTCCATTTAAAGAAACAGTCAACCATAAAATCCCTTTTGTTGTAGTTTTTTGTCTCAGACATGTTTGTAGATCTTTAGCTGAACTGGAAAATCATTTACTGAAGTTAAAACTCAACTGAATGAAAATGAGTAAAGAATGGGTTCAGGTTTAAAAGTAAAAGCACATTTTTTTGTTAAATAAATCAGATTAATTGCTGTGTAAAACTAAACCACTTAGTTTTATCAACATTTAAATGCTGCTTTAAGGGAAAGCAGCATTTGAAACTTTCTAGAAAAAATTAAAATAATCACTTTTCCTTACTCTAGTTAAGAAAATTTATTTATTAAAATCAAAATCACTCAATCATCAAAATATTAAAATTACTGTAATTTATATTTTATCAATATTTGTGAAGTTTTACCGTTTAGGTTTCAGATTCATTGTTTAATGGTGAAACACTGACCTCTAGTGGTTGAGCTGCAACATTGCAATAAATTTCCAGGTTTTTGTTTATCCCGAATTCGCAGGAAATTCTCATTTTCGATTTAAGTATCACAGAGAAAACTTGTTTACACAACAAACAGCGACTTATTATTTAAGTTTTGACATTAAAAAATTATTTGGTTATTTTTCTTCCAATAATCTCCTGATTCACCGCCTTGTACTTGTCATGTTTGCAAAAAGTTTACAGAGTAATCTTTTTTTTTTTAAATTTGAATCACTGGATATAACAGATATAATTCTATTCTATATGAGATTTGAGCATTTATATAATAATAATAATAATAATAATAATAATAATAATAATAATAATAATAATAATAATAATAATAAATAGTCGTTTAATTTAAGTGAAAATACTTAAATACAACGAAAAATAAAGTGAAACACCTGGTTTAAGTGCATAGGTACGAAATGGACACTCATGGTTACGAAACGGGGTTACGAAGTGGCGAATTAGCTGTTGCTATTGCACCATGATGCAAACATGGGACTGCTGTTTTATTCAGTTTGTCTATGTCAATGTGTGTCCGTCCCTATCAAATAAACTTAAAAAAAAAAAAAAAAAAAAAAAGAATGGACCTTGGGTTTTTTCCATTTTTTCCTCCTTCTCCCTGTTGTCAACGTGAGAAGCTCCAGCAGCTCTGACGGCCCGTATCACGTGATACAGCAGAGAGTAGGTTAAAGTGAAGATGTCTCACTCGGCTGCCACTTCTAAGCTCTGGATTCAGTGATTTTCTTTTAATCACACTTTTAACATCACAATTTACTTACTGCTTTATGATGTAGCTTACACTTGTATAATAATTAATCACCGCAAAATGATTGTTATATTTTTTTTTTACTTTTTTGAACATGATAAAAATGCTAAAAAAAAACATTCATATATTTTTTTAAAGTGCAAAGATAAATCACAGAAACCGTAGCTAATTGGCCATCAGACCAATTTAATTTTTACATTAATAATTTTACTTTAACAATGAGTTTAAAAATGACCTTAATTTTTTAATGCCCAGTGCTATGTGCTGGGCATAGCACATAGCACATAGTACTTATGTACATTTTGCTTGATGTACATAAGTGTTCTGTTGGTAACTTTGCTTGATTCCTATAAAGTGTATTTTAGTTTTTAAGAAAGTGCTCTACAAATAAAATGTATTATTATTGTTTTTATTATAATTATCAGTATTAATTAGCTCTAGTTGTATTGAAAAACATCTGCAACCCTCAACTCTGTAGCTTTAAGTGGTTCTTTGGCTCACTAAATATATTGTGAAATTCTGTGGCCTCCTGAACCCTCCCCCCCACTACGCCCCGTGTAAATTTGGCTTAGAAACGCCACTAACCGAAACGACCAGCGTTCAAATATTCGTACAGTGACTCATCGTGTTGTAAATTAACCATCTTGGTTAAAGCTAGCCGGCTAGCTGCTAACTCAGACTGACGCCATTAGTTAGGGGAAAGAAGGCGTAAGAATCAAGAAGAACGATCCGGTTCCGATTTTAGACCCATTCTCCTTTCAGCTACGGACTGATACCGTTAAAAGTTCGGGTTGTGTGAGCTGTCAGGGAGCTGTTCTGATGATTTTAGCCTCTTTTTTAAAGTCGGAAGTCGGTGCACGGTTCTGACGGAGTTGGCATTGTTAGCAGCTCGGAAACAAACGTCTGTTTTTCTGGAGGAAAACTCGAGGATTTTGTTTTTTTTGGGGGGGGAATAAAGTGACACCATGGCAACAGCGGGGGCGGCCGGAACCAGCGGCAGAACCTACTCCTTTAAAGTGGTCCTACTGGGGGAAGGCTGCGTGGGGAAGACGTCGCTAGTGCTGAGATACTGCGAGAACAAATTCAACGACAAACACATCACAACCTTGCAGGTAAGACGGTCCGGGAGGAACCGAATCCCGCCGAACCGGGGTGCTGATTATCCCCAGCCGCCCGGTGCTGGGCTCTCTGGCTGGAGAGCGGGGGGGTCAGTCAGGTGTTTGTGAGAGTTGTTTACGTTCATCCAGACCAGGGAACGGATCCGGTTTCACTTCCAGTTCGGATCGGAGTGTTGGATCCACTTCCACAGCAGGTCCGGGCGGAGAGGGGAAAGTCCGGTCTCGCTTCTCTCCCATAAAAATAATATTAATGGGAGCCTCACATGTCCAACTGCTGTAAAGATTTGTATAACATTTACATTTTCACTGGCACAGCGGTGTGATCATAAAAGAACAAACCCAGTTCAATTTATTATTCAAAGTAAACTAGAAAGAAAAGCATGTGGAGAGGAAAAACGCCACCTTGTCAGGAGGAAACACCCAGAATCAGACCGAATGTGAGATAAATGCACAGAAATAAACAGAAGCTAAAGACAGAAATATCAACTTTAGCTACAGGGACTTCATAATTCATTTAATTTGTTGTTTTGTTTGTTTATTTTGGATATTTAAAATGTCCTCCAGTTTCAGTGTTAAACTTTCATTCAAAATTTAAAGCTTATTGATTTTTGAGAATGTGTTCTTGCATAATTACACCATCAAAATGGTCTAAAAACAACAATATTATAATATTAAACAACAATATAACAACAATATTGTTTATCACAATAACTTCTGGGACAATTTCTAATCCAGAAAAATCTGTCATCATACCAGGCCGATATAGATGTATCTAATGTGTTTTTCATAATTTCATATTCAAAGAATGAGACTAAAAGTGTCAGTAATATTATTTCTGATCAGTTTTTCTGGTCATTTGATTGAAAACTGTTTTTTTTTTTTTCTTGTTTCATATGAACATGTATCCATCCTCTTTTTGCAATAGTTTTGTTTTGAAACCTAAAAATAGGGGGGGAAAGTGGTGGAGGTTTAAAAATAACAGATTTCCAAAGTTACCTTCCCAAGGATTCCCACATCATTATTCGGACACCACTGTGTCTTCGCATTGGGCAGGAAGCTTTATTGCTGTTGAAATTACTTAAATCATTCATAAAATAATTGGTTGATTGAAATAGTTAGCATCGTTTCTGTTTGAAACTCTAGATTTGATCTTTTTTCTGGACATTCTCTGGATGTAAATCAGAGTTGAAACTCTGACTCTTCATTCTCAGTCAGTTTGAAATGTTTAACTGCTGCTCAGGGTTTTGAAACTTAAACTTTTCTACAGATTTTAGGGGAAAACGAAAAAGAAAACGTTACAAAGATGAAAGCATGTTGACATGTTTGAACGTCTCAGATGAAACAATCCTGAAATCTGAACCTTAAGGAAGGAAAATAAATCTCCTTAGCTGGGATATTTTTCTGAAGCTGGTCGAACGTTCAGCCACCATAAACATGCATACAGAGATGAAATGGTATAGTTTAGATCAAAACGTTCGCTTATAATGGCCTAGTCAAAGTTCAGACTTAAATCCAGTGAGAGCATTGCAGAAATTTAAAACTGAATTTTACAGACGGGTCTGCTAACATCTAATCCTAACAAAATACGTCAAGGTTTGACGACCAAACATGACTTTTGCTCTTAGACAATTATGATGCGTAACCATGGTAACAAGGTATTGGTTTTACAACCAATTAGTACAATATGGACTTAGTTTTACCACAATATTTTGTGATAATGGCAAAAGTGACAATAAGAGTAGTTTATTACTGTTTAGTTTTACGTCTTTTCAAGGCAGCTGTTTGGCAAACGGACGTAATAAACTAAACAGTTTATTCGCTTCATCAGAAAACATTTTTAAACTGGAATTTATCTTAACAATAAATCGGAATTCTTATCATGATAAATGATACGATAAATGATGATCATCATAGTGTCGATATCGTATCATATCGACACTACTGATTAGCGTCTCAAAATCTCAAATAAAACCTGAACTTTGACCCCAAATTGTTTCTACCATGAATTATAGTGAACAATAACTCCAACACCTTTTTTTTTTACCAGAGAATAAAGTCACAATATTAACTTTATTCTTGTAATTCACGTACCTCATTTTATTCTCATATTATTTAAGTATTTTTGAATTTAATTGAGAAAATGTTAAAGTTGTATTATGATTAATTTTGGAAGTTCCTGCTAAGTTTTAAGGTGTTGGAAGTGAATATTGACCGTAAAGCTTGTGATCGTTGCTTAACCTCCGCCCTCGCTGACATTTCTCTCTTTTTCTCAATACATTTTATTGAATTTTCTCTTATCGGACACAAACATCCTGACGTTGACATTCAGTCACACAGTCACAGTTCAAACCTGCAGGATGTGTGACGTTAAAATCCAGAAATTAACCAAACTGTTCAGGGTGAGACAAAGAAAATAAAACTCAAATTCAAAAGTACTTTATTGATCCCAAAGGGAAATAAAATAATAAAAAAGTACATAACTAAATAAATAAGCTAATAGACAATTAATTTAAATAAATAAGTAAATAAAAAATAAGTACATAAAACATTTAATACATAAATAAATCAATAAAAAAATTATAAATTGCAATAAATTAATTATTTAATAAATTCATTTATTTATTAAATATAATAAATAAATGAGTTTAACTAAATTATTATTTAAATAAATAATTTAATGTATTTAAATGAATAAGAAAATAAAAATAAACCAATAAATTCTTAATAAATAAATAAATAAATGGCCCAGATGATCCAAAGCAGTGGAAATGTTGAACGGAACTCGGTGAAGTGCATCCTGGGAGTTGCAGTCCGCCTCCCATCATGTCAGCAGGGCGGAGGAGGCGTCCGTTGCAGTCACACGGCGCCGCCGCAGGGCGCCGCGCCTCACATGAGCCGCATCCCGGCTGCGCGCAGAGAAACGATTAACTGAGCCGCTCTGATCCTCAGACGGAGAGCGGCAGATCACAGGATCAGGGGAGAAGTTGGACAAACTTCCAACACGCTTTGCTTTGTTTTTTTTTTTTTTCTCCTTCATATGAACGTCGGGTCATTCTCAGCACGAGCTCTGCATTAATGAAACGCCACGCTGAGTCATGGGACTCCATGTTTTTCTGGCCCCTCGCTGCCATTTGGATGCTGCTCAGTTTAGTGTGAGTAAACTGCTGATATGGGCAATAAAAACACTCAGGATCAATAAAAGCAGCTGCTGCAGAAAAGTTTCACTCTGAGCTCATCCATCCAGGTTTGAGGAATAATCTGGTCAAGTTTCACTGGAATCAAAAATTTAAATTCAAAACGGCGACGATGCAAAAGGCGGAAGTTTGTGGAAGAATCTAAATATCTTTTTGGTATTTAAAACAAATGTGAAAGTCATCTTGAAGCTGATTTAATCAAGAAATTTTTGTCTCGTCACAATAAGCAATAAGTCGATTTATCGTTTAACCAAAAACTGGATGAGAAAAGTCCTCAGTCTGTTTAGAGAGATCTCATAATTCATTTTATTTGTTGTTTTGTTTAGTCATTTTGGATATTTAAAATGTCTTCCAGTTCCATTGTTAAATATTGGTTATAATTTAAAGTTTATTGATCTTTCAGAATGTGTTCCTGCATTATTAGTCCATTAAAACTTAAAAATGACCTGAAAATAAAAATATTATCGTTATCACAGTAAATTGTAGGGTGATTCATCAACCTCCCTCTGACGCTGATAAACGGGAAATGGCAGCGTGTTTGGATCTGAAGCTCTCAGATTAAATCGTCGAAGCTCCACCTGTTTCCCACCTGAGAGCTTTGAGTTTCAGTTTCCCGGCAGATATGAGTTGAGCAATCTGTTGGCAGCTTCAACAGCTGCACAAGCTGAACATTTCAACACAGACGTTGGTTAAGCTGCAACTTTCTTCCTGTTCACTTTTCCTCAAAATGGTTTAAGAGCTGGAGTGATGCTAGTGGTGCACCGATCCACTTTTTCACTTCCAGTACCGATATCTGAGGTTTAACATCGGCTGATACGGAAACAGAAAAACAGCTGAACTCACTTTAAATGTTTCTTCCTTTTTAAACACAGTCATAAATCTGGTGAGTTAACCATTTATTTAATAACTTCATCACACCAATATCTTCACAAACCTGAATTTGTTCAGTCAGTGCAACTAGAAGTACAACAGCCAATATAAATAATAAACTGATAAAAATGATTTAAAAAGTAAACTTCAGCAAGCCTTTTTTCAAATAGTTCAGAAATTGCAATTAGGAATTCTAAATAATAAAGTATAGAATTATTAGACTGAATAGATCACCATAGTCACTGATGCCCAATATAGAATTTATTTCAATATTTCAATATTTTACCGATACAGATAATTTTGGATCGGTGCGTCTCTCTTTCTCATAATAGTTTGCTGAAGTTCTGGTCTATTTCTCCAGACAGAACCGGGGGAACCAGGTCAGGTTTGTACATTGTTTTTATTGGATTTATTTATTTATTTATTTTTTTCCCACCATTGCTCTCATTGTGATGTCAGCACGCCCAGGGCGGCCATCTTGTTTTTCAAGTGGATTTTACAGCTTCTTTTATTTGGACTTTGATTCAGGTAAACTTTATGATGGAATATGAGTCAGGCTACGATAATTTTTTAATTATGACAATAAAGTCATAATATTACAAGAATACAACCGTCATATTAGGGGAATAAAGTAGTAATTTTATAAATCCACTAAAAAAATAACAAATTATTAAAATGAGGATTGTTGGGCATCTTGTGGAGTTATACTTTGGTATAAGTTTTACTCATTTTTTAACACATTAGCACTGAATTATTTTCAGTGTTTGGGTTTTGAATTAATTGTGCAAAACAATTGAGTCTATTTTGAAGAGCCACAAACTGAGCTGGTTGCATCATATCCTGTTAAATAACAATTTTTTTCCTCATAATTGTAAGACATTTTTTCTGGTAAATTTGTGTCTTTTTCTGCTAATATCATGAAAAACAGGAAAAATATTTTGTCTATTCTCAGTAGTAAAAACAGTATTTATATCAGTCTTAATTTAAAAACAGTTGCTGTGTATAGAAAAGTTTTAATACATCAATTAAAGCAGATTTGGTGAACTTTAGATGTTTATAGATGTACCTTAGAGTAGATGTGGAAAATAGAATAAAAGATGTGTTTTATGTAAGTAGATTTTAATCTAAAAGTTGTAGTTTTGTCCTAATATATTCTGAATTGTGGTTGGGGGGCCGAAAAAAATCAGTCTGGTGGCAGCAAACGGCCCTCTGCCCCTACTTTGAGAACCCTTTCTCTAAATCAAACAATTCTCCTTAAAATAAACATAGAAGCTGATTACTTTCTACATGAAAACAAACTTAAATAAGTTAATTTAACTTAATCAAGTATCACAGTTTATAAAGTTTAAGCATTTCATGTCTAACAGATAAATTTAGCTAATTTTAACTGGAACTGGACGAATTAAGTGACCAGAAACGGCTCCAAGCGGAGGAAGTGTTGCCTCTCCTCTTTATTAATGGTTAATGGAGTGATTATTAACTCCTCCTCTTCCTCTGCAGGCGTCCTTCCTCACAAAGAAGCTCAACATCACAGGGAAGCGGGTCAACCTGGCCATTTGGGTGAGTGAGATGTTCTCTGATGCTGCTTGCGATGCGTTTAAGTACCAAACTGAAACCTGTGTTTTTGTGTGTGTGTGCAGGACACGGCGGGTCAGGAGCGTTTCCACGCGTTGGGTCCAATCTACTACAGAGACTCCAACGGAGCCATTCTAGTCTACGACATCACAGACGAAGACTCCTTCGAGAAGGTAAAAGTGCCGCGTTCAATCCTCTGCTCCGAACTGAGAACTGCTTCCAACAACTGAACTGATTCCTTATTTTGAACAGAATCATGACTCTCCAGAGTTTTGCTAATTAGGGAATCTCTTTTCCTGACTCTCTTCAGTGTCAGCAACTGGTTCAAAATAAGGAATCAGTTCAGATTCATTATGTTGGAGTAGTTCTTGATACTAAATTATTCCTTATGTTAAACTGATTTCTTATGTTGAATCAGTTCCCGACACTGAATTGATTCCTTATTGTGAACAGATTCCTTAGATTCCAGACTCAATTTGTTCAAGTCCTGATCAGAAGTTTTTCATAATTCCTGAAAGTCTTCCTGAATTATTATTATTATTATTATTATTATTATTATTATTATAAGATGTTTAAACTGGAAAATAATCATAAACAGCTGTGCTTTAGTTGAAAGTGATAAATTATTCAGCATGAAGATAGAAACGGGACATTTGTGTCATGATGGTTTATCTTCACCTGTGGAGTCAGGGCGCCCTCTGCTGGACACTTTGGGAAACATCTGAGGTTTAAACTTAAAACAAGCCAGATTTACAAAACTTTAATTAAACATGCTAACAACACCGAGGCCAGAGATTCACCTGAACCATAAAGAAAGTTGCTTTTAAGTAAAAACTGTAACAATATGTTATATTTAACGGGTTTAGCAGAACTAATCAGTGTTTTTGTGTCATTGCAGGTGAAGAACTGGGTGAAAGAGCTGAGAAAAATGTTGGGAAACGAGATTTGTTTATGTATAGTAGGTGAGTTGACAAAGTTACTGCAAAAATGAAATACAAGAAAATGTATCTATAGAAAACCTCAGTAACAGAAAATGTCCATGAACACAAATCAGTCTCAGTGATTTTCTTCGGTTTTGTGTTTATTGAGTTTATTTCATCACTAATTGTTGTTAAAAGAAATAAGCAGTTATCTAAAAATGAGGAGGAAAGTGTCAGTTTCATTTTCTGGCTCCGTCATTAGGATTTCACGCCAAAGAGAAAATTTGGGGTTTTTTGTTGTGTTGCTGCCGTTGTCATGGCGACCGCAGCTCCGGCTTCACGGGGGACAGAAACGTTTTCCAGCATTTTAACTGGATTAAACTGTGGCCGTCATGTGTTCGGACCAGATTAAATCTGCGGTTTGGAAACGGGATTCAGTTTTCAACATTTTTTTTTATTTTTTTATTTTTATTTAACATCTTTAAATTGTGGCTTGTTTTTTGGATTCTGGACCTTTGAGGTTTTTCTCCACCAACTTTAAAGTTTCTAAACAAAAATTTGATTGTTTTTCTTTATAAAACCATTGAAGCTCAGTCAGAGTGAAAGTTTTCAAGTCTTACTTCAGATTCTCAGTTGGATTTATGTCTGGACTTTAAGTAGGCCATTCTAACCCATAAATCTGGCTTCATTTTAACCATCTATTGGCTCTCAGGCTCCACGTTTAGAAACTTTAATTAAACATGTTAACATGTTTAAAACCTTTTTAGGTTTTATGTGCAACTAAAAAGGATTAAATTAAATATTTTTAGATAAAAGAGAATACATTTTTTATTTTAAGCTCTAATTATTGTCGTTTAAACCAAATGTTTGCTGGTTTTTGTCTAAAACTCCTATTTTTATAAATCCACATCTTCTGTGACATTTTGCAAATACATAAACATGTTATTTCTGCGCCTGTATAGCAAAACAAATTTTGCTGGATGACAAATTGTCCCAATAATAATTGTGATAAATAATAATATTGTTTGTATTTCAACTGACATATTAATAATGGTAAAATAATGCAAGTTTCCCCTTTTAAAGACAAATAAACTTTAATTTAGTAAAGAACACACAACAACCAAAAACAATAAATAAAGTGGAAATAAAGAACACACAGCCGAAACTATGAATAAAATGGATTATGATGTTTCTGTAAACATAATTATCAGACTGAAGAATTTTGTCATCCAGTTTTTTTTCTCAAAGAGAAAAATAATAAATAATTCAAATGGAAATGATTAATCTCGTTTTAATTTGTCATTTGATTAATTGTTTTATTGCTTGTTGCTGCAGTGTTTTAAAATCGTTTGTGTCTCTGCAGGTAATAAAATAGATTTGGACAAAGACAGACACGTCTCAGTGGAAGACGCTGAGAGGTGAGAACTGGAGTAAATCGGACGCTTTTCCCACTGCAGGCAGACAGATGGTGCCAACGAGACTCCTCCGCTGACCTCTGACCTCTTGCTTCTTTTGCAGCTATGCAGAGTCGGTGGGAGCCAAACACTACCACACATCAGCCAAGCTAAATAAAGGCATAGAGGAGCTGTTCCTGGATCTGTGTAAACGTGAGTCTGAACCTCAGTCTGACATTTCATTTATTTATGTAGTTCAAACAAGGATTTAAAAACAAGAAAATAAGAAATCAGTAGGACAAGACTGATTACGAAATAATTATCTTACTACTTCTTTTACACACACTGCCTGCAGACATGAAACCAACACACACATTTATCCATTTATGTTCGTTTCAGAATAAAAATTTAATTGTGCAAGAAAGCTCAAAGAAATAAAAAAATAGCAACTGTCAAAGAATAAATAAATAATTATATTTAAATGAGTATAAAATATGTAGTACAAACATACAGAAATAACTGGGATGTTTTTTAATGCACAATAGTTCAGCCTTGCGAGTTTGTATCAAGCATAAAGTTCCTCATGTTGAACGGATTCTTTATGTTGAAAACTTAAAATAAAATAAAAAAAAGCTTCAAATTTATAATTAAAAAAACTAACAATTTATAATTTCAAGAAAACTACACTTTCTCTTTTTTTTAATAAAAAAAATTGTCAGTTAATTTAAAATTAATTTGTTTATCATTTCCCAAAATTTTATTTTCGATTTATTGATTAATTCGATTTATAGTCCAGCTCCAGCTGAAAACTTTGCAGGTAAAATTTTCTAATTTTTTTTCTGTTTTTCCATCAGGCATGATGGAGACAGCTCAGGCGGAGGAGAGAGCAAAGGGCAACGGAGCCAGCCAATCAGCATCGAACAGGCGGGGCGTACAGATAGTCGACGACGAGCCGCAGGCCACGCCCGCCGGAGGATGCTGCTCCTCTGGCTAACACACACACACACACACACACACACACACACACTGCCTGCAGACATGAAACCAACACATACATTTATCCGTCTGCCATCCAGTTCGTCCGCTTGAAAATAAACTTCGCCTCTGCTGCTGAGGATCATGGGAAATCATATTTAAGTTCTTGGTCTGTGTTCGCTCCAGAATAAAATTTATCCGAGTGTGCTTCTGTCGCACGTTGATCTCTGTAACCCGTCTCTCTGTGTGACATTAAACATGGCGGCTCCTGGTTTCTTTCTTTGTGTTTGGGAGTGAAGCTGCTGTGTCTTTATTAACCTTCGGTGGCGCGACGGCTCCACCTGCTGGACGGAGGTGGCAGAGTTTTCTTTTAATCGGTTTGTTGGCAGGAAAACCTCAAACGCATTCACAGTTGAAGCGTCTCTGAAACAAGGAGCTACTGAGCATGCTCAGAAAAACTGCAGAAATAAAGCAGCTGGGTTTCTTCACAGAACGAGAAAGAAAAAGCTCTGAACTTGCCCTGTAATCAAACTAAAAACAGCCAGTAAAAACGTTTCTAAGGGCTCCAGTTAGAGCTGCACTCATCTAAATAACTCCATGTTTAATCAGGAAGTGAACTGGAAACTTAACGCCAGGATTTATCGTTTATTAAATTTCATACACTGTAAAAAACTGATTTCTGATCACATGTTGCTCCTCTGATTTGTAACTTTAAAAGACGTGACAGAAAATCAAACATAGATGGAAATAATGATCAGTTGTCAGATATTTTAATGATTGATAAAAGATGTAAAGAAAAAAGTAGTCTATCTCCAGCTACACATGTTTGCATTGGTGTTTTATGTCTGATTTATTTTGTGTAACTAAAGGTTTACGAAATAAAACCCTAAAATGTTTATTTCTGTCAAAATCAAAATCAGAGCTTCAGCTTTTATGTTCAGATTCTGCCCTAAAATTACATCTTATTTCTCCAAGATTCAAAAATATTTTCCACATTTAAACAGAAAAATGAACAACAACGTGTTGTTGATGTGCCATTATTATTATTATTATTATTACTGATTATCGGAGGAATCTTCTTCGCTTGGCTCTGCTCCTCTTCATCACTTTGGATTTTCCTTTTCTCCCTGAACAGAGAAGTTAAACTGTGCATGTTTGATTCCTATAAATGGCTTTGTTTGTCTCACTTTTAAACAAAATAAAATAAGTTATTTTACAGTGATGGAAGTCTGAGTGTTTGTGCTTCAAAACTTCTGAAATTAAAATGAATCATTTTACAGTTAGACCCTGCTTGAGTTGTTCTGAGCAGGAAGTGGTGAACCGCAGCTGACTACTTCCTGTGTGAAAGAGGAGCAGAAATCCTCTGAACTCAAGTTTGTCAGCAACAAGGCAGTTCAAAGTGCTTTGCATCATAAAAACATAACAGTTATGAAACAAGCAGTAAACGTTACATTTTGCCAAGTGACATCAAAATAATCAAGCAATTACTCATCAGATATGTTGATCAATGTTCCAGTTGTTATAAATCAAAGGCAACTCTAAGCATTTGGGATTTTGCTCTTGGGAAGTTTGTTCCAGATTATTGGAGCATTTGTTCTCTTTACGAGAAAGTAATATTCTCATAAAGAGAACTCTATCTTGTGCTAATCTGTTGTTTAAATGAAGGAGTAGAAAGTGTACATTGTTAAAGAAAGAAAATTAGTTAATTAGATTGTAATTATTCTCCACTTGAGCTGCAGAGATGGGATCCTTTCAATCAGTCATCCTTATCCTGCATTACAACAAGCGACAAAATGGAGCCGGAAGATGTTTAATGGAACCAGGGTGAAGTTGAACTGCTTACTCAAATAGTGCTGAATAGCACCAGTTTGTTTCAGGCTGTGTTTTACTTAACTAACATTAGACATTTTTAACTCTATTAAGATATAGTTCGGTTCATTCTGTTTTATTTTGTTGCTCTGAAAATTATTTTCAGATTATTCCCAACAACAAATTCTAAAACTTGTTTTAGAAACATCACTGTGTTTAGTCAAAGCTCATAAATGCCCATGCCTGTTTTTGTGTAAAAAATGTCAATTTGTCACTGGAAATCTTAAAAAGTGCAGAAAGTGCTCATCTGTATCAGCTAAAGACCACACTAAATTATTCCAATTAAACAGAGTTGGGGAGTGACTTGTTACATTTACTCAACTACATTTACTTCAGTAACTTTTTTTTTGGGGGGGGAAAGACTTACGTTTAATTTTCGTGAATAAAAACTCCTATTTCAAAACAAACCAAACAACACTATAATGTATTTTCATTGCTTTCCATGGATGAAAATGGTGGAAGAAAGAAATAACTCCTCCTTCTTAACTCTCGACCGCATCATTTTGTTAGTTCCTGACACTCATAGCTCGTAATGTCGGGAATTTTCCACTCCTTTTTCCGGAGAACGTCTTGATATCTTGAGCTTCAGCAGCTCCCGGAAGTGACCATGCTAAACTCCGGCTAGGTGACCGGAAGCCCCGCCCCCTCCGTATTTGAGCCAAGTCCAGACTTGTTGCTTCTGCTTTTGTCATCGCTGTGACTTGGTCGCGGTTCTCCAGAACTCGAAGTTCGCAGTTAAAGAAAGTTCTTTTTGTTTTTCGGTGCTGCAGGCATGGCCCAGATAAACAGCTGCCTCAAGCGGACCTTCATCGGGTTCAACTTGTTCTTCGCGGTAAGTTGGGTGTTTTAAAAAGATCCAGAACCTTTCAGAATTGAAAGTGCGTAGTTAAAGCTTTATGGGGTTAGCGCCCTTTATACTAATTTAACAAACGCCAATAACCAGTTTAACCGTTTAAAAACGGTCATAGTAAAAGTTTGTGGCTAAAAAAATTGTATTTGATGCTAGTAATTTATAAATAAAGTAATATATGGTCCTCATTTTTAATAAATTCATGTGGTGAAGTTTCAGTTCCGTGTAGAAATTAGGACCTTCAGTCCGTTTGGTTCAAAATGTAAATGGTAATCTGATTATTGTAGACTGAATACAGATTCGTTTTACAGTTTGTAATTCGCTAACGCTTTTTTAAATTAAAGTTGAACTTTTTGTCCACTCTGACTCAGACCCTGCATTAAAAACTAAAGTTTAACTCTTAATATGGCTTCTAACAGTAAACCTTATAAAACAACCAAATAATGATAATAAACACGATATTTTTGAATATTGCAGGTTTATGGATGAATAAAAAGCATAAGCTGCTCAAAAATAACAAAATATGTTAAACTACACTTTAAAGATGTTTTGAGTAGATGAAAGTTTTCATAAATGAAACCTATGACTCCTGAGTCACCCATTTCAGTATTACATTATTTTTTAGTAAGACAATGAATAGTTGTTTCACTGCCAAAAACAATTTGAATGCATTTCCTCCTTTTTGTTTTCATAAAACCTGCAGATCACTTCTTCACTGCATTTTGTTTCTTTTTATGTTTTGTACTAAAGCTGCTCAATTTTAGTCAGTTCTTTAAAGAAAAGTGCGACATAAACTAACTTTAACTTTCATTTTAAACTTTTCCCATCTCTTACATAAAACAACCGAGCATTGCAGGTGTTTTCATTCCACTTCCTCCTGAAATGAAATTTTTTTGCAAGACAATACAAGTTTTATAACTGCTTAGCCCTGAGCTAAGATGGTTTCTGTTCCTTCTTTGTTTAAGTACACAGAAGTTAATTCTTCTTCTTTTTATGATTGTTTATAAAACCTGCTGGTTTTATCTGCACTGGGGTTACCTGCTAACACCAATGTTTGCTCAGAGCAGGACATGTTCAGGCATCTGCCGCACACTTCAGCTTTGCGTTCAAACCTGCTTTTCCTGTTTATTCAGGGAAATAGTTACATGCTTTGTAAGGTAAGCTGTGGAGTTGCAGGTTGGATATTTCAAAGCATTTATAGTTACTAAGCTAACATAAATCAGCTCAAAGCAAAAAAAAACCCCCAAAAAACAAACACCTTTCTAGTGATATTTAGCATGTTTACTTGTATTTATGTCAGAGTTTATGAGCTTAAGAAGGATGTTGAAGTCAGACGTGGGGCAGGTGGTTTTATGAGGTAATAAGTTTGATCCAGAGAAAATCATAAGAGGTTAATCAATTTCTATGTTTCATTTTTTGTTATCACACCACAACTTTAAATATGTTATTATTGTGCATTTATTAGTTTTTTTGGGATCTACAGTGTCTCAGATTATCTCCAGTTTTCAATATGATTGATAAATCTGGAGGAAAATATCCCACAAGGACTCCGGATCATTACAGTGACAGTTTGCGGTCTGAAAAATGATAATTATCATCTAAAAGTTATTAAAACTGGTTATTTCTAAAGCTATTTTCCATAATTTGATGAAATTTGTTCTGCAAGCAGTTTATTATCTGCAAAATATTTATTCTGTTTATGGAATTTCAGCTCTAGGACATTTAATAAGCTGATTTTATGTAGCTTTCACACTAAAACTGAATCTGTGGTTTAAAGAGTTTTAAAATTAATCTTTGTCTAAAATTAATGAAATGTTTTTTTCTAGCTTGTCGGAGCAATCATCCTCTGCCTCACTGTTTTTGCCCAAATCGTCACCAACGGTGAAGATGACGACGTAAGCGCTCACACTTTGTTTATTTAACTGGAAAAACTCAATTTGAGCTAAAAATCTAAACGTATAACTGCAGATTGAGAACCGGACCTACGGGCTCATCTGCCTGTACATCATGGGAGCCGTCACCATGCTGCTCGGCCTGCTGGGAGCCTACGGCGCGTACAAGGAGCACAAGATCTCTCTGATTGTGGTGAGTGCGTTTTCAGATGAAACGGGATGTTGCAAGTTTGGAGTTTCCAGTGATCTCATCTGAGCTATTGCATTATGCAGAGATCTTTATTTCAAAACAGAGGTCAAAACAGATGATTTGTTTTTGTTTTTTCTTCCATGTTTACACTTTGTAGTACATTTCGGTGACACTTTTTTAGTGAAATTGTTTGTTAAATCTATGCAAGTTAGCTTAATAACTTAAGAATGACCAGGATGTATTCATTTGGTTCTCAGGTTAGGTGTTGTTGTGTAGTTCTGGTTCAAATTGTTTGTTTTTCTTCTGCAGTTCCTGGTCTGCATGGTCATCGGGTCTTTGGTGATGATCCGATCAGGAATCCCTACCGCCGTTCTTCGTCCTCAGGTAAAATCCCTTCTCCTCCAGGCGGAGCTCCTAATTGGAACGTCACGTCGGTGGAAATAATATTTATGATTTGTGCTCTGGTGTTAGCATAGCTAACCTTTTAGCCCAACACTGCTTGTTGAAAACTCAAATTTGTTTTTATTCAGGTTTAATTGCGGAGAAATTGTTGTTTCCAGATCTAGTTTAATTAGAAAATGATTTTAAAGAAATCACATTTGTAAAAATGTTTCTTTTGCATAATAGATCAAATTAGCAGCACTAACTCATTTAGCAATTTAGCTTTTTGCTAACTTAAAAGCTTTAGCAAATACTAAATACTGTTTTTTTCAGACCTAATTTAAATAGAAAATGTTTCAGAAAAATCTGATTTTTAAATATTTATCTATTTTAAGATGGAGAAAATGAACAGAGCTGATTTTTATTTTATTTTGCGATTTTGCTGACTAGCTCTTTCAGCTTTTGGTAAATGCTGTGTTTTTATAGTGCTTTAGAATCAGTAGAACTAATGTTTAGCTCTTTAGCTTTAGCATTTTAGTTGGTGCCCACCTCTGCTTATTGACACAAAACATTCAAATTTGGTTTTATTTAGGATTAGATGTACATAAATTGTTGCTTTCAGACCTATTTTAATTAGAATAGGATTTTAAAGAGTCATATTGTAAAGACTTTTCTATTTTGAATTTGTGTCTGATTGAGCTGCATTGTGTTGTTTCTGCCTCTGAATGAATCTCTGCTGGTTTGCAGGTGGAGGGATTCCTGGAGGAAAAGTTCAGTGAACTTCTGCCTCTCAACATGGCGACGATCTCACAGAAGCACTTTGTCAACAGCATGCAGACTAATGTGAGACTCATTCCTCTTTCACATAGAAGAACTGAAGGTGTTTAAGATATTTTAATGGAACCTCCTGAGAAGGAAATGGTTCGAAAACAAGCTGCAGAGGCGTCTGACACTTTCAAACTTTTTCTGATGTGTGGCTTGACCTCATTCACTTGTTTTCTCATTTCTGGGTAATTCTGAAACCCAAGATCTCACATTTTAAAATATTCCAAAAACTTCATCAGAATGACCGGCTCAGTCACCAACTTTTCCTCAAACCAACCATTCAGGGTTTATGTGATTAACAAAACAGGAGACAGAATGGCTCCTGTTGTTTGGCTTTCAGTCGTTATAAAACTTTGTTCTACCATTTTGCTTTCTGTTTTCCTGAAGGGTGACTCAGAGTGCGGCCACACCCACATTCACTTCCACTGAACAGAAACCAAAATCAAAAGTTTGATCTGTTTTATTCTTTCTACCCAAGAAGAAAAAACAGGGTTTTCTCGAGCTTAATTCATTTGTATTTAATTAATTTCATGCCAATCTTAGCAAAAAATAATTTTTTAGTTGGTTCATAAAGATCCAACTTTGTGGAACCAAGAATGCCACAAAAGAAAGACAAAAATATTTTATTTATTTTTTGTCATTATGTTTTTTTTTTAATTTGATTTTGAGAGCTGACAGCGTACAGACATTTTTGGACTGAGGCCAGCATGGTTCTTTAAATTATAAATAATTAAAATTTTCTCTACTTTGCTCAGAAGATTATGTTTATTCATATAAATTTTTAGATTCACTTTAAAACATAAAATCTTCAGAGATGTAAACATCAACCATCAAACATGGCCGACATCTAAACTTTTAACCAAACCAGAAGGTTTCACAGTCAGACGTTCACTTAAAGTACAATGACATACTTCCTGCAGAAATGTTTTTATCGTCCTGCAGTAAAAGGTTGATGTGAAACTAATAAAAGCTACACTCACAATAAGAACTGAAGATATCCTGCTGATATGCATTGATTAACTGATTATTAGTTCAAGCAGCTCAGCCAATGGCAATCTGATTTAAATCAGACTCGTGCAAAGGCAAGTTTAGGAGAAAAGTTTGCAAAAACTGATAAAGAAAATGGATGCAGTAATTAGTTTGGGGCCGCTGTGCTTCCAGGAAGCCTCCATTTCAACTCCTGATGTTATTTTAGCTTTTGTAGATGCTAATCTGCTGCTCCCAGTTCTATAAACACTTTGTTGCCACGGTTACGCATCAAACCTGTCTAAAAGTTAAGAAAACAACCAGAAAAAAAAATGCTGGTGGCAGAAAAATCTGTGTTCGTTGTAATCTGGATTATTTTAGTAACCGAATATTCTGACAAATAATCAGATAAAGAATTGACACGTTCATTTAACCAGTTAAGGCTTTTTTACAATATTATGAATGCATTAAAAGATGCAAATAAACAAATATTAAATTCCATTGTTGAATAAGCAAATAAATATATTTTATTGCTCAAAATGCAATGTCACTCCTTTAGTGAATTAGAACAAGGTAGAGATTTTTTTTTTCTTTTTTACAATCAAAGGTGTTTTTTATCTTAAATGCAAAATATATATTTATTTTTGCACAGTTTTAACTTAATTACTGCTTTGAGTGTTGTTTTCTTTAATCAAATGACCTTTTTGTAAGTTAACGATTAATCAATTACTAAATTAGTTGATGATTATTTCAATTATTGATTAATCGTGACAAATCCGATTAATCGTTTCAGCAATAATCTGTATCATTCCAGAGTTTTTCCAGTTAATGTGGAGTAGCTCCAGTGGGAACCACCTCACATGTCCTGCACGGCGGTGGAGGAATGATGGTTTGTTTTGACTCTCCTCCTTCTTCTGTGGTTTCAGTTGCACTGCTGTGGCCTGTTTAGCTACACAGACTGGAATGAAGACATCCCATCCTCCTGCGATTGCCCCTCTGACTTGGATGAGGAATCTGATACATGCAAGCAGGTCCCTGGCATGAACCGCTACCCTGTGAGTGTCAGCGCTCAGATGTGATCTGATTCACATTTCTGTTCGACCTGGAGCCACTCATGACTTTATGTTTACGTCTCTTCCAGTTTCTGAAGCAAAGCAGGTCCATCTACAGTAAGGTGAGTAAGCTGGAGCTCATTGACCAACCTGAAAGTGAAATGGATCAGATAAAGTAACTGCTGCTTCTCCTTTCCACCGGCAGCCATGTTTCCCCATCCTGATGCATTACGTCCTGTTGGTGGCCGACATCTCACTGGGGGTCGTCTTCACTCTGGCTGCTCTGGCTGTGAGTTCACCCTTTTGTCTCAAAAAATACACAAAACATTCTTCCAGGGAGCATTCACACCAACCCTGTTTGGTTTGCTATAATCAAACACTAGCTTGTTAGCCTAGAAAGTTTGGTTTGTTTGGGTGTCCACACATCCTTAAAAAAAATCCTAAAGGGGCAGTATTACGCATTTTCAAGCACAACCAAATAACCTTCAGTTGTTTTAGAAATGCTACATATATGAAATTTACTTTTCTAAGCTAACTTCCTAATTTAACACTCTGAAATTGGGTCTCTGTCTCTTTAAGAAGCTCAAGCTCTTTCTGAAACTCCGCCTTCAGGAAGTCATCACAACTTGGCTCCTCTATTAACACTAGCATTTTTACCAGCATTGCTCTGAGAAGTAGTTCCTATAATGAGCTCAGCAGTTCCCCTAGTTGTTTGCTAATTGGTTCTGGCTAGTCTGAAGGAGCTGAGTGGAGGAGGAGCTGCGCCTTGAAGGCGGGGATTGGTCTAACCAGGCATTTTGCACACTTGACTTGACTCTGCTCTGGTGCCGATCAAAAAAGTTTGGTTGAAGTGAAATCTGGCGCGATTCAAATGAATATGTGAATGCCAAGCTGACTGGAGATCACTCCAAAAGCAGGAAGCGGACTGCTGGTCAGGGTATTCTGGGTAAATACAACCAAAAAGAATACACTAATTTATCGCTAGCAGGAGAAATGTGTCCTGCTAGCGAGGACACCTTTTTAGCCAAAAACAAAAGAGAAGTCCTCCAGACGCTGAAATCTGGTGCCACTCCATTTTTGTTTGGATTTCATGAAGAAGAAACTTGCACTCAATGTCTTCTTTAGAGGTTTTCAAGTTGCTTCCTGTAGTGGCTCTTGCTGTAGCTCCCCCGTAGGTGAGGAGGGGAACAGGTTTTTCAAAAAGCTGAAAATGTAGCAAATGTTGCAATTTTTGACTACCAGAGCATCAGGTGTGAAATCACCTTTAAAGTAATTTTAAATCTCACAAATTACAACTTTACAACACGATCCCTTACAAATAAGTTAAACAATCACAAATAGCTCTTAAACTTGAGAAAAGAAACATTAAACATGTACAACTTTAAGTAGCAGATATTGTTTAAACTAAACTGTTTAGAGATATGTTCCAGTCTTCTTTTGAGTGGGCTCATTAATGTAAATAAATAATCCATTAGAATCTCATCTGAAGGTTGGATGCCTCTCATGGAGACCAGGAATGTAAACAAACCATCCCGGCTGATAAAACCTTGAGCATGCAGTTACTCTCATGCTCAAGGTTTCTGAAATGTTTCACTTTAAAGGAAACATTTGAGATCTATGAAGCATCAGGACAGAACAGGTCCTAACAGATCCTACCACGTCCTTCAGGATTGTTTTTCTAACAGACTGTTCTGTGTTGGCGCCAGATGCACCAGAAGGAACCTAAATGGATTAAACAAAAGTTAATTTGGAGTAAATAAACTTTCAGATGTACATTTAAGGCCAGAAATATTGCCCCCCTGATGAAATCACACACAAATGATGCAATTTTATTATACTAAATTAGCATTTTTCATGTTTTTGTACTTCTATTTTGCCACTACTGCTGTGAAAAACAGCCAAGATGCTTTAAAAAAACCCACAAAGAAAATGTTAAAATGTTAGTTTATTTTTTGGTAATAAACTAACATTTTTGGAGTCTGAAAATGAGTCCTTTCAAAAATCTCCAGATAAGAATCCACATTTTACTGGCATTGTGCTGTTACCTAGCAACCCCAGCCTGTTACCTAGCAACCTATGTAGAGTTCAGCATGTTGAGTCAGGAGTTGTGGCCAGCAGCATCATCTTTGGATTTAAAGTGACAGAGGCCCTAAACAGTAAACGTAGACAGGCCTGAGCAAATTAAAGTCTCATTATCTAAGAATAATTGTATGCAAAAAATGTAACCAACATGATTTGTATAGGCCATAGACCTATCATGGCCTGTTTAACGAAGCATAACAGGTCACCTTTAAGAGTTAATTCTGAGTAAATAAAGTCACAAATGTTACGCTATGATAAAATCATGCAATATTTCCATGTAAATGACCATAATAAAAACATTTCATACTTCATCTTCCTCCTCATGGTTCAGGTTCTGGGCATGATTCTGTCCTCCATCATGATCCACCAGCTGCGTCATCCCAACAAAACCCCCGTCGTCTACAAAGTTCCCACCATCTTCATTCCAGGACCACCAAAGTACCAGGAGCTGCAAAACGATCTCCCACCTCCCTACTAAAGGAGCGCTGCCACCTTTCTGTTATGCTTCAGGATGTTTTTCTTCTTCTTCTGCCGTTTCTCTGACTGCTTCCAAAGTGCCTTTCATTCCTCCAACAAGGGAGAAACTCTCCAGAGATTACTCTGCACCAGCTTTGCCAGTTTTATTTTTAAACCATATTTTACAGTTTTTTTATGTTTGGTTTTAATCGTCTGAGAGAGTTTTAAGAAAAATAAGATATTTACTTTCATCTGTTTCTAAATCATCATACAAAAAAAATATTTTAACAAGCTTGGTTTACTGTTGAATAATAAAAGTCGGGAAAAAGCCATAAGACATTTTCATCTCATAGAAGAGTTCTAACCCTATTTAGGTTTTATATATTAAACCTCTAGATATGCAGATTTGTGTTTGTTTAACCAAAAGCAACTTCCTTGCACACTTAATACTCCTAAAGGAGCTGATAAAAATTGATTTTTAATAACAAGGCTTAAAAAGTGACAATGAATGTTTACAAACAGAAGGCTAGTTTATTTCTGCTTGCTAATCTGTTACTGATTTCATTTGGATTTAAAGGGAAATAAAACTATAAAATAAAACAATGTTTGTGGTGTTTACTGATTTAAAAAATTGTCTGATTATACTAAAGAAATTTGCAGCTCTGAAGCATAAATGGTTGTAAAAGCACATTGTTCTCAAAAAACATGGAGTCAAAAATTTTCAATAAAAAAATATTTGAGATTAATCTCAGAAATGTTCTAGAAAAAACAAGAACCTTCCTGAATGCTAAAAGTAAAAAAAAAAAAAAAACTAAAGATTTTTTTTAGATTAATCTCAGAAATGTTTGAAAGTTTTAAACTTTTAAAACTCATAAATTTCAAAGTTTTTCTTGGAAATCTCTGAGCATTTCTGAGCATTATCTAGCAAATTCTCAACTTTTCAAGTTAATAATTGCCATTGTTTTCTTAGAAAAAGTTTTCAGGCAAATTTTTGGCTTTTGGAGATCATAAATTTAAATTTTTTTCTCTAGAAAATGTTTTAAATCTCAAAAATACCTAGTATTTTCCTTGCAAAGTTTCAACATTTAGACCTAAAAATTTCATAATTTTTTTCTAGGAAATATATTTTTAGATTAATCTTAAAATTTATGAATCTTTGTCATGAAGCGGTGTGGTTATAGTGAGGATCGCACGCTGAGACCCAGGTAGATGAAAAAATAATAAATTTAATGAAAATAAATCCAGCAGAACAGCACGAAGGAACAACTGGAGACACGAGGAAACAGGCAAAGGTTTGACAATGTTAGACAAGGACCCGACGAAGAACACAGACACAGGTGGGTTTAAATACACAGGGAGGGTAATCAGGTAAGTAGACACACCTGGGGGACAATCAACGGGGAGGACAGGACAGAGACTCAGAGGAAACAGGACAGAAGCACAGAAAATGTCAAAAATAAACACTCAAACACACGGATCATAACAATCTTATGTATTATCAGTGTTTATGGTTAATAAAGTATGCAGCAGTGAGTGTGAGCAGATAAAAATGATAAAGGACACAAAATCACAAGTATTTGAATATTTTTGTACAAATGTCTGATCTCAATGTATTTAATGAAATGCTTGTTCATGGAAGTTTTCACAGCTGAAAAAACCCCCCCAAAACCCATGATCTCTGTGTGTACACGGGTCAAACTTTTCCGTACGTGACATCCAAACTAGGGTTGATCTTGTTGGTTTTTCAAATCAGGAATAGGGAATTGCAAATTCTGGTTTCAAAAGTTCTCCAACATCCAGAGGAGGAAGCAGCTGGTTTTGGGATTAATAAACAAATCTGGGTCTGTTTCCTTAACCATAATATGAGTTGTTGCTATTAGGCAAACATGATAAAGTTCTGAACTATATGATAATGAGTGCTACTAAAAATTGGCAAAAATGGTTTTATAACACTAACATTTTAAAGAAGAGTGCTAAAACAGCTGAAAACTTGTGATTTATTTACTTAATGCGCCATCTAGTGGACAGAAGACTCACAAGAGCGCTAAGAGGCCATTTCTGAGCTAAACATTACTGAAAAATATTTAAATATTGTATGTAAAAGCTCAGGTATTTTAAAGAAAACTTTTGTTATGGTATGTCATAATCATGAGCTACATTAAACAAATTTCTTCTTGATGTATTCTGTTAAATCTGTGTTTAAAGTGTTTTATCTGATTAAGCACCGAAATGCCATGGAAACCTACGAAAAATACAATTATCCAAGCACTCTTAGGGTGAAAATTACTCACTCGGGTTTACCTTGCATAAGATGAGAGCAAAGACGTGCAAAAATATTCACCAGACAGACTGTGAGAACTGACTTCTCCTTATCTGCACTTATTATAACTGCAACTCGCTCGGACAACATAAACTTAATTTATCCTTTACTAAAACAATTATTACTAATTGTTAAAAATAGACATACTTCTACACTGTAAGTACAATGTTCCTTGAAGGAAAACGAGCTTAACTGCTGGTTTTCTGTAGATGGATAAATATAAAAGTTTTTCAAGATATTAAAAATTATTTTAGATGTCTAGTTTGCAGTTTTTCCGCCATCAAACTTGACTCTCCATAGAAAAATCTTTAGCTGTAGCATATAAAGAAATCTTTGGAATATTTAAGCATGAAAAGTTGGTTTTAGCCCTTACCAACATTCATATTTCCCCCCAATTAATAACTCGTATAACTTTGAAAATGCCGATTTCTATCCTTTAACTTTATTCTGGTCGCTCGCCAAATCTTAGGGTAATTTTTTTGTGTTACACCACCGGCAGCCATTTTGTTTTTCTAATTTCGGCGACGGCAGGAACAAAACAATATCGAGTCTTATAATTATATCTTAGTTTACGGATAAAAGTAAAAATTAAAATGTTTTGTTAATTTAAAATGCATGTTTATGAAATATAACGCTTTTAAACAAACAAGTATGTTTTTAAAGAGTTTTTCAGTGATAGAACAAAGGAGGCGCGAGCGCATTTTAGCACTTAAGCTAGCAAAGCTGTAAAGGTAAGTTGAGTTCTAATTTTACATTAGAATTAATTTTGTATTTTTTTTTCGTATTTCTAGGTGAAAAAATATCTTGCCTGTAAGCGAGTGCCTGTAAGTTTTATATATATATATACACACACATTTTATCGGGCTTGTATAGGGCTAGTGAATAACCGTTACTTCAATCAAAATGAAGTATTTATGGATTTTCTTTAATGATTAAAATATTTCCAACACCAGAAAATTATGCTGTTATTGAAGATTTCTCCTCCCCTTCCTTCTCTCTCCCCTCTCCCATCGCCAGCCTCCACCTGAGCGTCATCTTTCCTCATTATCTCCCAGACACGGATGGAAATAACCCGTCTCAGTTCGGAGCCGCCACCGCCTCCACCACCACGTCAGACCGGCTGTTCCTCCGTCGCTCAGGCCGCTGCAGGAGGACACTGCAGGGCGGGGAACGAGCGGTAGGAGCCCCAGCGGCGGTGCTGCGACGGCTGCTTTCAGCGTAAACAAGCCTCTTCTGCTGTCCTTGATGTTCCTTGACAGCGCTAAGAGGAGCTTCAGAGAGGCAATTTGTTTGAATCTGACCCACAGAAAGGCAGCATGAACCGCAGCAGAGGAAAAGGAGAAGGAAGCTTCTTCACCATGTTTTTCTCGCTGTGTTTAATTTGGACACAGCTGCTGATCCCAGGTAAGCGTCTGCCGGCTGCATGCTGCCTCAGACATCAAAAACACATAGGAACAACCCAACAATTTGCTAAATAAATGTTTTCCACAACCTTCTAAAGAATAATCAAAAATGCCACTGCTATATATATCTGACACTAAATTAATCATATATCTATGCAGTTTAGTTAAAATGTGTTTTATGATGGGCATTTATTTATATATTGCAAATAGACTGTATTTGCTGTCTGTGAAAGCAATATATAAATATCCTAAATAATTGTAATATTTGTAAATAAATTGTTTCTCTACTATAATCCATAACATTCAAAATCTAACTGTTTTTGTTGTGTTAATGCACACCAAATGTGTCAGTTAAAGTGTAGCTTTAAAAAAGGAGAATGAAATGTAGTATTTTTAGCATGGAGAGATATTTGAGTCAGCTGCAGAAGATGCCAGCATCCCCACTGCGTCTTCAGGGGCTGTTCAGTGATGCAGTTCCTGTGTGAACGCCTTAAATCTGAATATAGGTCAAAGTAGACCTTCATACTGAGTCCTCATAAAAAATACAATTGACACCAAAGGCAGCTTTTATTTACATGAGCAATGAGACGTTAATCTCAAAAGATGCATTAATTGATATCTAGAAAAACTGAGCTTTTTTTTTGTTGTTGGTAGAAACAGGTTTTTTTTCTCATAAAAATGTTCTTGCATCTGGATAATAGTTATAGTATGTTTGTAATAAAGGGCTTCTGAATAAGTTAAAGGTTAATAAAAAAGAAAAACAAAATAGTATGCAAACCTGATTCTCACAGATATAAAAGATCAGTGGTTGTGGCCAAATTGTTGTTTATTTTAGTCAAAATTGACCCAATCAGGGTAAAATTAATGGGTAAAAAAAATATCTTAAACTGATGCAAAAAACAACAATTAATTTAGTTGTGTTGTAAGCTCTGGTAAAGTTTTATTTTTGTTTGAATCCATGAGTTTTAAAAAATTAGTAGAAAATAATAATATTAGTAGAAAATAATAGTGTTAGTCTAAACTGAGAATCCTGTGGAATTAATTTGTGGATAGGAAATAAATTGTATACTTGAAGTAGTCAGATCATTTGGGCTGATTCAACTGGTTGTGTACAGTACCCTCAAAAAGATTTTATATTTTTGTAAAAATGAAACACACAATATAATTTACTTTTTGTTTATCTGTTATGTTTCAGCTGGGTGATAATGCCAAACTTTGGTTAGATTTTTCTGAAGATCTGTAGATTTTTTTAAACCAAGTGTGTTGTACTTATAGTAGTAGCATATTTAACAAAAATGATCTCATTTGATATTACTTGAGCCAAATCTTACGTGAAAAGTAAAAAAAATCTAAATAAATTTTAATTTAAATTCAGGATTTATCAGTAAACTTTACTCAGTAAATCGATGTCAGAAGTTAACTGGTTTCTGTTTTTAATCGTGGTGCACCAGGATATTATAATGAAAGTTTGATTCAATATGTGCAACTCCATATTAAGTTACAATAAATTTGACATTTTGAATTAGATTTATCGCAAGTCAATTAACTGACACCGATTCACTTAAAAAGGTAGAACATTTTCTGAAAATCTAATGTAAATACAAAAAGGTAATTTTTTGACCCAAGAATTCCAGCTTTAAGATGTCTTAATTTGTAACAAATGTAGATTATTTTTGTCTGCTTAGGAAGGCATTTTGTACTCTTTCAATTAACTTTTTAGAATGTTGCCAACATATTTTGTTAAATATCTAAATTCATATAAACAAAACACAGATTTATCTAATGAGGTTTATGTTGATGTCAAATAATGAAAAAGATGAAAAGGAGTAGTAATTAAAGTCATGGTTGTAATAATTAGGTCTGAAAAACTGAACACGACATAATATTAGTCGATATTGATAATTGATAATAATTAGATTTTTTGTTTTAAATATGCGAAATGCTACCAAACTAGTGGAATAACGTTTCTTGTTTTGTCCAGTTTTCACTCCGCCATCTTGTTTTTTTGTTTGTTTTTAAGCAGTTATGAGGCTAAGCCTAAAACTGCTGCTGTGCAAGCTACTTAACTGGTTGTTGCTAGGTAACCAAAGTTGGGGGTAACATGAAACTGCTTATTACCCAGCAGGTTGTTGCTAGGCAACCAAAGAGTGAGTGAGTTAGTTGGTTCCACCAGCCTAGCCTAGTTTAGTTGGCTAAAGTCTTTCCTCTGCCTACATCCCCCAGAAAGCTGGATCAGAGTCCAGTGAATATTCACTGTATTAAATATTCAATCAGATGTATTTTTTATTGTTATTGATCGCAAAATAGATTATTAATTTATTATTCAGGCCTAGTAAAAATATAAGAGTATCAATAGTTAATCTCACTAGATGCACCAATTCTTCCTCAGTAGTGTTTTATTCCGACAAATACATAAAATATGACATTTTCTTTTGTATATTTAATTCATAATGATGTTAAATGTCTTAGATTTGACTTATAAAACCTGCAGAAACCCTGCAAGGTTACTGAAAACCGTCTGAAACTCTCAGTCCTTCATTCTCATCTTGATCTTTGAGACGAGTCTGTGTTTTTTTTTTCCTGTCAGGCGTTTTCCTTCGTTGGTTTTGGTCAACTGATGATGACTAATTCCTGCTTTAATTCCCTGCTTTAGGCTCTCACTGTGTCTCCAGTTTTAATCGGGGTGTTCAGGTTCACTCTGCTTCAGGAGGAAAACAACTGACATGTTTTATCCTGTGGTACAGTCTTGGTTCTGGCTGTTTATTTGATTTCTGTTGTCTTTATCACAGTGGGTTTGCCTCTGGAGCGATTTAGCTGATTAGATGGAGAACATTTGATTAGTCTGTCGTGGTCAGCAGGTCGCTTTGACAGAGAAACTGGGAGCCAAATTCTGGTTCTTGTGATTGATGATTCAGCTGTGAGGCAGCAGCTGTGATGCTGATTACATGAGAGGAGCAGACTGAGCTTCCAGCATTTTCTACATAAAACACTCAACCAGTCTGCCTCTTCTCTGCATTTGTGCTAATATCGGAAAACAGATTATTTATTTCAGCTGTGTGACAATAACAAAAGGAGAAATCCAATATATAATCTCAAAGGAAAAGGAAATGCCTCACTCTATTTGTCTCGTAATTCACTTCCAGCCTGAACAGAGGCTTGATGGTTGCTGTCCAATCAGAGCTCACCTCAGCATCCTGCATAGCAACCAGGACGCTGTCGTTAGGTAGGACAGAAGTGAGGAGGGGATGGAGAACGCTGAGTCAGGTTCACAGTCTCTCTGAGGAGTTAAATGCAGATTTCAGCTGTTTTTCAGCCAGAAAAGGTCAGACATATAGAATTTATTTGGCTTTTATGTAATTGCAGACATTTTGAACCCAAGCTATTTAATTCCTGCCCCATCTGTTTTATTTAATTTGTTGCTATCCATTCATTTCTGCTTGTCAGGCTTTTACATAATCCAAAAATTGATTTCAGGAAAGAAAAATCTGCTGTCAGATGAAATGTGACAATTTGGACAAATGTGAATGGATCCGTTTGTGTATATATCACACACACACATATAATATATATATATATACACATCACAATATTTACCAATATTATCACTAGATTTTCTAATATCACTCAGCCCTACTCTATTGATTTTGATGCAAATGAGAAAATAGCATTGATTAATTGAGATATTGATTGTTTTAATAACTTTACTTTCCACTGTATGAATTGCACATGGTGATGGCTGCCAAATCTGTTGGTAATGAAAGCTTTAGTTTTCAGCTTTAAAACTATAACCGATCCTCCTGTCACTGTGTTCACACTTCATAAACGATGTAGACTAGAACAGTTGTAACCGTAACTTTCACAGCGTTTACACTCTAAAACACAAATCACTTCAAAGTCAGAGAAAGTTTGCAATACTCAAATATTTGTAATATTTAAAGCCTAAAAGCCAAATGCAACACAAACCACACACACGTATATATAGTATGTAATTGATCAATTTGACATTTTGAAAATAAATTAGCTTAATGGAAACACAGCAATTTTGAAAAAACACATTTTTTGATAAATATTTTTGGCGCTGGGAGTGACATGATCAATAACTGGTGCAAACCACAAAGAAGACGACGACAGGAAGTAGAATCTCTGAAGAAGACTCTGAGCGCTGCTTCCTTTTTCACACAATATAAGCAAAAATGGAGTGGCATCAGATTTTAGCAGTTCTAGTTTTAGGAGCAGCAGTTCTTGCTGCATTTCCATTGACCATGTAGTTCCACAAATTGGAATTACAACAATAAAATTGCTTAATGGAAACGGGCCAATTTCAATGAAAAGCTTCTGCACTAGGATTAGGTGATTTTTCAGCCGTATTGAAAGTGGTTCATTTTGCAAAACTGCAATGGAAACTCATGTTTTATAATCACAGCTTGTGACAACGTGGTCAAGTTGGACTTGAGCATCAATACCTGCTGGAAAAACTTCCTGGATCATAAATGTGCTTATAGTTTTTTTTTTCTTTCTCGCTCAGTGTAAATAAAACTCGTGAATTAATTATTCAGGGCTCGTCTTCTTGGCGGTTGGTTGGGATTTCCTCCATGCTGCCCACATATCTGAGCGCAGAGGCAGATGTGCTGCGTTCTGCTGTCTCTGCCGCTCTGAGTGTGATGCGTTCGAGGTCGACATGTTTGAAAGCAAAAAGACACAGAAGGCTGTTGATAGCCAGCGGTTTAAAAATAAACAATGAAAAGATGTTTCTGCTTCGTCCTCTTCCTCCAGTCTTCATGGTCAGGATTAGAGATGCTTTTTAAATACATGTATTAACCCAAAACGTGTCTAATTATGGATTGAATGAGAAATAATTCAACAAATCGACAGCTGGGGTTTATTTACTGTTATTTAGGTTTCACAAATATAACAAGATGTTCAGAAGATTCCTGAAATTTTATGATTTTTTTTGACGATGCTTAAATTGGACAAAAAAATAAAAAGCACTGAGGATTTATTTTGTAATTAAAGTTTTCTAACAGACCTGATGGCATTAGAGACTGAAAAGCTTTCTTATATCTTCAGATTTATTTTCAAAATGCTTTCTACTATAATTAACTATTTAGTTTTACTGCATGTTTACTGGCCTTTTAACCTGTTGTTTAAATTAAATGTAACATTTAGTTTTGTTAAGCTTATGTTTTATTGTTTTTAACTTCTACTACCATTTGTTTCATATAATTTATCTGTCTGTTTATTTTTTATTTTATGGTTTTTGTTTTATTTTTTCATCCTAGTTTTACAACTTTCATCAGGATTTAGAAAATCTGTTTCTTTGAATTTTTATGTCTGTTTATTTTCATTTTGTCATCAGAGCATCTGCATTCATCTTCATTTTATTCTTTTTTCCATTCTTTGCCTTGTTTAACTTTGTATTTTTATGTTTTTAGTTTTTCATTGCTTCTTGTTATCATATTTTGTTCCTGTGGATTAAAGCTGGCCTATAAATAAACACTGATTGATTTATTGATTGATCGAATATCTGCTATCATCTTTCTCTCAGAGTATTTCGCTGGCGGTCCGTTCCCGACTCACCGTCCGGGTCGCCACACTCTGATCGCTCAGAGAGATGCAAATGAGCTGCCAGAGTCTCGTTCCCACCTCCACCTCCATCGCCACCACCACCAGCAGCAGAACCAGCACCCGGCCCGGTCGACCCGGCCCGAGTCTCGGCTTCAGCAGGAACTCGGCGCCCGGCGGAGCTTGGACCTGCTGGAGCAGCTGCATCAGGATGTGGAGCCAGACCACTTCGGCTGGCGTGTTGTACCCGGGGAATATGTGGTTACCATGGTGAGTGCTTTGTAAGCCTGTTGCAGTGATCTAGTCATAAATTGATCTCATGATAAATTAAATGATCTCCATATTTTCCATTTTCTTTATAGTTTCAGTTATGTGTGTTTTTATTTCCGTTTTAGTTATGTTTTATATTGAATATTTATAGTATCTTTCGGTTCCAGTGTAGCGTGTTCTTTACAAAATTAAACTGCATTGATCTCTGACTGGACAAACTTGCCTTATTATGCCATTACCAGCAGATTACTTGGAAATGATCTCAAAACAATATTATCATTTTTCACAACAATTTATCATTCAGCAAAATTGGTTGTTGCTTTTTTTTGATGGGTTCAAGCCAGAGCTGAACAATGAATCAATAACAATGTACATCGTGATCAGTATCAAGAGATACTACATCTGATAGACTGTTCAATAGGTTCCCTGAACTCTGATCCAGAACCACAAAGCATTCTGGGGGATGTAGGCATAGGAAAGACTCTGCCTACATCCCCCAGAGGAAAGCTAGGTTGGTGGAATCAACCAACTCACTCACTCTTTGGTTGCCTAGCAACATCCTGCTGGGTAACAAGCCTTTCAAGCTCCCCCCACCCCAGCTTTGGTTACCTAGCAACAACCAGTTGTGAGTAACTTGTGCAGCAGCAGTTTAAAGTTTCACTGCTGTGCCTAATCAGGCATTTATTGTGTCGTTTATTTTTTATTAGGATAAATTTCTTAGAAGAATTTTGATTTATCGTCATGATGCATTACAATTAATGATGTTTAAAAAAAAACTATCCGTATCGTCAGGATTGTTAGTTTTACTATTTTCTCAATAATAACTTCAGTAAATATGAGTACATTTCAAAATATGATGAAATGCAGTTAGTTTGTGCAAATTAATGATAAAACAATCACATTTCTTCTTGTAACTGGAGTTATAAGATGTGTATTACAAATATGAATAATTTCTAAGACCAGTTTTTGTGTTTGTGTGGCTACGAGTGCCACACAGCTACCAAAAAATAAGTAATAAATAGTTCTTATCGTAATAATAGTACCACTTAAGGTCCATATCGCTCTCCCCTATTGAAATAAAAGCCACTTTTTGATAATATTCTCTCTGATTTGTAATTTATGCTTTTAGAAAACAGAGCAAGCCCAGCTCCACTGTTAACCAGATTACTGATGCACCTGAAATATGTAGCTGTCTTCTCATTGGTTGGTTGGTTTTTAAAGTGGTGATGTCGTCCTAGAAACATGTTAAAAAAGGTCAGGGCTCAGAAAGCAGACGGCGAATGATTGATCACATGCTGCAGACTTCTCTATGTATGGAGCTGCAGTCTCTGTTGCCATAGCAACGCTAATAGCAAGCGAGCAGACCCAGTTCCCTCCACAATGGGCGGTTGTATAACTCTTAGATAAACAGCAATGACCTTCAGACACAGACAGAGACATGGGGGACGCGTCTGGGAGACGCGGTGAGGCAGGTGTTTCTCGCCGCGTTCGTCCTGCTGGTGTCCCAGTTACCGGTCCGACTGCAGCTTCCACGCTTCCATGAGCCTTTTTTTCCGAATATTTTCTGAAGGAATCAGATGTTTGTTTTGGACAATTTTTACTCAAGAGATTCCTACAAACTTGGTTTGGCATTTTGACCTTTTCTTAAATCTTAATTCTAGATTCTCCTCCACTTGAGTCAAAAACATGGGGCTGATTTTTTCATTCTAAAATTGTGTATTTTGGTGATTGTAGCCTGACTTTACTTGGCTTCATCTGTTAAAGTGGAAATTATTTTGGACACTTTGCAGTGACGTACTTAACAACACAAGAAAGTATACAATCAACTATTTTCTCCTATAAGTAGAATTTGGAAAATGGTTTGATGAGAAAAAATACTGCAAATAATTCTAAAGTAGCACCACAAAATTAGCGATTTTGATTGCAAACAAATCGCTAAATCCTGGAAGGATTATTAATTTAACACAGAGGTTCCCTAAAGTTAGATTCAGTCCACTTAAAATGTCCCTCATTTGCCGTTTATAAAAAATATACTCTAAAGTGTTAGTTTATACATTTAGAACTGAAAACCGACTCCTGGTTACTAACATGCATCAAGAACAGCAACAAGAATATTCAGTTCCAATGTTTACTGTCTTCTACACAGTGGCTCCATATTCTCCTGATGCTCCGTATGTCTTAGACATTCGCTGCTTTTCAAGCGTCTTTTCTCCATAAACCTGCATAAAATATCTGGATCTCTGCAGAATAGACGCATTAAGAAGTTACAGGGTGTTAGCATAACAACCGCCAGCAGACCCACAGTCTGCAGACAGAACAGTTGGAGGTGTCGTGGCCGCAGATGCATCGTGGGAGTGACGACAATCTGCAGAAACCTGCTGTGGAATCTCAAAGACAGATGGGAATGCTGGCAGTCCGCAGACGGCAGTGTCTCTGTTTTTAATGTTCAGTTAGGAAAATAAAAGCTGCTCTTTGCACAGATTGAGACTTCCTGTGTGGTCACATGACCCGGCATCCCTGCAGGCTGTCTCTCTGAAAAGCATCCTCTAATGTGCTAAGACGTTTTCCTGCAAGCATTCAAGCTGAGAGAGACCCCGACACACGGCCAGCAGGTCATCTGCTCATTCAGCTCTTAAAAAGAGTGCAGAATGCGTTCATAAATGCGATTATTCTCATTTAAATCTCCTTAATTCGTCCCTCTAACACTGCAGTTTGCATAACAATTAGAGTAATGTGATGTAACAGGATGTAAGGGAGAGAAACCTCAGATGGTAACCAGTTACCGTCATCACATTCCTCCAAGGCACCATGTGACCTTTGCCCCTCTGTTGGCTTCTCACAGCATGCTCCGTTGTCAAAGCAACAACATTGTGACTCGGCACATTTGTGTTCAAGCATTGGAAGCATTTACTGACGTCCTGTTGTCCTTAAAGGCCGTAAACAGTTTCATCTGCGTAATTCCTTCGTAAATTCAAGCATCCTCAGGTTGAAATGACCTCTGTCTTTAATTCCTACATGTAAACTGCAGATTCCTACTCTGAATTCTGAATTGATTCAAAATGCTAAAATCGATTTTAGCTTTTCTGTAAAATTATATTTAGATTTTTTTAATTTAATAAATAACCTGATACTAGTGATTTAATTTGCTGATTTTTATCCACAAACATATTTTTGCTACTATATAAACTGATGGAAATTTTTTTTATTTTTTATTTTAAATAAATATTCTATTTGCTTAAACCATCTTTTCTTCTAGTCACATAATTTAAGCATAATTTCACAACCGTTTGAATAGAAAAATCGAATTAAAAATCGTAATTTCTCTTTGGGATCAATAAAATATTTTTGAATTAAATAAAAAATGTGCATTTCTGGATGACATGAAAGAAAACCAGGTTTTAGATAAAAATAGAATAATTTATTCATATCTGGAAGTTCGTCCTTTCATGCATATTACTGGATTGGACGTCACTACTAGCCGCTCTAGGTAGAAACGCGTACCTGCAGGTGCCATTACTACACATTGAGTTAATTGTGATTAATTAATTACAAACAATTTTTTTAAATTTTGATTTAAAACTTGTAACAGAACCGCACAGCATTCTGGGAGATGTAGGCAGAGGAAAGGCGTTATCCAACTGAGCTATGTTGGTGGAATGAACTAACTAGCTCACTCTTTGGTTGCCTGGCAACGAAAGAGTAATTACCAGTTTCAAGTTCCCCCCAATTTTGGTTACCTAGCAACATGTTGAGTAAGTTGCGCTGCAGCAGTTTAAGGTTTTGACTCATAATTGCTTAAAAATGAAAGATAACATTGCAGAGTGAAAACTAAATAAAACGGGAAATGTTTTTCCACTTGTTTTAGAATTTCAGATATTTAAAACAAAAACAAACTACCCAATAATTATCGATATCGACTGATATCAAATGATTATAATACCGTGATATTTTTTCAGCCATATTGTCCAGCTCTATCTTCATTAAAAACAAAACTAAAATTTTGTGTATTTTGAAAATAAAATATTTTCATGTTTTGTCCAAAGTTTACCTCTAGAGGCGCTAAAGCAGTCGTCATCCGTTTAGAAGTCAGAGAAGCTGATTCAAACAACTTTGTTTGAATCAGCTTCTCTGTCCTGGAGGCTTTAAAATGTCGTATTGATCCTCTGCTAATTGCTGACTAATTGATTGAACCCTCTCCACATCCCTGAGTGCACTTTGACCCCTGTCCCCTTTCCAGCCTTCTCCCCACTGAGCCGGGCTGTTGGCTAATTACAGCCTATAACCGCTAAAGTGTGTGTGGCTTGGACAGAAATAGTACCTGATCCCAACAGGAAGCACAGTGGGATAATGGCATTACCCGGGCGACGGCCAATCAGGTGGAGGGCTGAGCTGTGTCAGGCTCTAAGCCAATCAGAGATCAGGGAATGAGTAGATCAGGAAATGGAGCGAAAAGTCCCTGGTCGCTAAGTGACAGGCGGCTCGCCTCCTTTCATTCAGAGAAAAGCTTCGCGTGGTCGGCTTGGTAAGGTTGTTTACATTGTTTATCCTGCTTCATTTTAGCTTTTACCTCATTGTTTGTTGTGTTTTAATGCAACAATGTTTTATTATTTGTCTGTTTGTTGAAGAGTTTAAATGACTCCGGGGCGGTTATCTGCTTACACAGAAATCAGTGGATCATTGTTGCCTGGAGATTTTACAGAGAAAATCTCAGAACAGAAAAACTTCAGTTTTTAAAGATGTTCAAACAGAAACCCAGATGTAAACTGATTATTATTTTAAATATTTTTAATATTATTGGAGGATTTCTCTTGGTCAGGCTGTTTTGTTTTAGTGTAACCAGCCACAGTCTGATAACATCGACTCTGTGAGCTGCAGGTTTTGTTCCTCATATTGAATTAAGTGGCAGCAGAACATGTTGTTATTTTAGCCATTAGCAAACAGCCGCCCACTCTCCCACACACACACACACACACACACACACACACACACACACACACACACACACAATAAAACACACGGGGATGTTGAAGCAGCAGCCGGTGGGCTTCAGGTTGGTGGACAGAAAGCTGCAGAGGTCAGACTTCTTGTTTGTTTTCCTCTAATCTCGTTTTAAAAAGCAATCTGATATTCTCTGAGTCTGCTCTGCTTTTATTCACTTAGAGGAAATGATAAATATCAGCTCAGTGGGTTTATGGTAATGGTGGATGTTCAGGGCAAATAATAAAGGCAGAGATGATCTACATCACTTTTGGATCATTTAATATCACAAAGACTCTGTGGAGTGGAATAATTGTTACATTTTTGGTGCTAATTGAATATTTATCCAGTTGCACAGAATCTCCTTCTTTTTCTCACTTCCTGCTCAAACTAGACTAATGATTTCTAAAAGCAGAGTTGGATAGTAACTGGCTACAATTAGTAACTTGCTAAATGTAGCTAATTTAATACATTTAGCTGATTGCTAAATATAGCTAGTCAGTAGCTAGCTATATTTAGCAAGTTACTAAATGTAGCCAGATTAGTAACTAGCTATACATAGCTAGTTACTAACTACATTTAGCTAGTTAAATGAAGCTAGAATGTAGCATCTGAGTGTTTTGTTCTCGGACCAGTTGGATGTTTAGAGTGTAAGAGAAACGTTTCAAAACAAAATTTTGTTATATTTTAGTTACCTTGCCACTTCTGTACAATGTAGATAATATCACAAGATATTGTTGACAAAAGTGATGAATTATATCATATAAAAGTGAACTGAAATTGTCTTTATTTAGTTCATTTGTATTGTTTTTATCTCCATTTTCAAACATTATCTTGAAAATGTTTGAGTTTTTCTGTGGGAAAAGTTTGCAAACAGTGTGTTAATGGATTCCTCTGAATATTTGAGGAGGAATGAAGTTAACTGATCATATTATCATATTATACTAAAAGGGAAAGGAGAACATTGGTATCCAAGGTTCCAGCCTGTATTTAATTTGTTTTCTTTGTTTCAGTACTTGGCTGTGGGAGTGAGGAGGCTGAACATCAGTCACCTCCTGTGGTTCCGGGACGGCGTAGCGGCGGCGCTCGGTGTCGCTCCTCAACACGTTCACATCAACAAGCTGAATGTAAGTCTCCCCCTCGTCCCAGTCATTTCATCTCCTTATTTGGCTCACTTCCTGTTGGACGGACTCTCCTTACAGGCCAGAAACGGCATCGAGCTCTTCGTCTCCTCTGAGAGGCGGGACGTCTTCGAGCTCCGCCCTGCGAAGGAGGTCGTCCAATCACTGAACCGTAGCTTCCTTCATCACCATCTGGCCGACTTCGGCATCACGGCGGTCAAACCGGAGGTAAATGTGTAAAATCCCAGAATCCTCAGCTCTTTTTTGGCGACGTTCCGACGTTCCGCCATGTTTGCTTTCCTTCCAGTGCTGCAGAAACATCCCAGACTCTTCGCTTTCGTCTCCAAAGAAAAACGTCCTGCAGGACGATCAGAGGGATCACGCATGGAGCAGAGATGGCCTCTACAATGTCGTCCTCTTCTTCACCTTCTTCCTCCTCATCATCACCTGCCTAATGGTAAACCACACACACATTCCTGGAGGAAGAACTTCCCTCTGCAAACCCAGCTCAGTCTGTTGATAAACTACATGATAAAAAAAGTCACATTTTCCACTCTTAGACTTTGATTATGCTGAATTGATTATATTGTAAATAAATCAACTTATTTGCTCCCCAAATGGAGTAAAAAACCTTCAGATTATGTTATGGTAGATAAAATAAATGTTACAAAATCTGATTAATAAGGTATGAAGAGGAATTTACCACCACTAGGCTTCATATCACTTCCTGGTCTTACCCATTCCTGTACCTCTATTTCTTTAAATATAAATAAATATAGCATAAAAAAGTCATATAGCATTTTGAGATTTTATTTTATTTTTTACAAAATTATCAGAAAAGATGAAGTGGTTAGTATTTCCTGGTCTTTTTCTGCTGACTACGGTCTCTTGCTTGTGACAGAGTTATATGTCCAGATGAAGATGTTTTGTTTTTTGTTTTTAATTCATAGAATAAAGTCATAATATTAATAAAATAATGTTGTAATGTTATGAGAATAAAGTCAAAATTGTATGAAAACTCCTACAAGAAACTGTTAAAATGAAGAATGTTGAGCATCTTTTGAAATTATTCTTCAGTTTTACAAATAAAAAAATCTTTTAACACATCAGTAACAAATTATTGTGAGTTGCAGGACATTGAGATGATTGTGTCAAAGTTCTGGCAGGTATTAGGTAACAAAATGACACTTAATAAAACTTACTAGAATTCATAAAAGATTAAAAAAACAAAGCAAATGAAAATATTAAAATGGGGGAATAAGACAATAAGTGTTGAAATTAGACATGTAGAGGTAAAAAGAATAAGCATAAAATATTCATGAAATAAATAAAAATAAGAATAATAAATCTTATTTTACTATTGCTTATTTCTTGCTTTAGCAATTTCTCCAATTTCTTGCTTATTTTTCTCCAATAAGTAAGACATTAGAGAAAAATGTGAAAATTAACATTAATGTGATATAAACTGATAAATGCTAAGAAAATACAAAACAAATATTTAAATAGATTTAAATGGTAATTTAGTAAATAATTGAGTTTTAAAGTAAAAATCCATTTTAAGTAAAATATGTATATTTTCCATTCCTTCCTTTGTAGTTTGACACTTGGACCACATGGGGGCGCCCAACACAGAGAGAAACCTCAAACACTTCCTCCAGTTTCCAGCAGGATCTCATCTGATCTATTCAATGAAATGCTTTCAACAACTTAAAATCAAATGAAAAAAAAGAACTAGGAGTTAAATAGAGATTTAAAGTTAATTTACATTGAAGAATGTAAACCTTTCTGTGCTTGAAGTTGTCACAAATGTCTCTAAATGTTAAAACAAACAAAAAAATAATAATTTCAAAATCAGCCCAAACTTCAAGGAAACATTTACCCACACAGTATTTAAAGCACTTTACACATTATTCCTTATCAGTATTTACAGCTTAATTTATGTTTCATTATATTAATGTCTATGCATCTATTTTTTTATTTCTTGATGCAAATATGTTCAGAAATAATTTAATTAGATAATTGTGGTAAAAGAATCAGCACTCTGTACAATAAATAAATTAAAGTTGGCAAAAATTGATTATTAAATAAAAAAATGAGCTTCAAATAATTTATTAATAAAGAAAAGACTAAATTAGTAAATTCATTTATTGTTTTTTAAACTTTTAATGATCCTTGTTTATATTTTCTTAAACATTTTTGGGATATTTATGAAAATAGATTTTTCCTCTCTACACGCTAAACTTTGCGAAGTTTTGTCTGATTGGACGATCAGACTTCAATCTTTAATCAGGTTATTTTCTCCTCAGGTTTTGTATCGAATGAAGCAGAAAGTTCCTGTTACTGAGAAGCAGCTCAAAGCTCCGCCCCCCGACCACGTCGTGAGCCTGACCCTCCCCTCCGACCCCCACAAGAGGTCAAAGGGCACCAAGGTCTGGGACATCAGATTTTTATTTTTTATTTTGCTAATTTTGTGAAATGTTTCTGTAGCGGTAATGGTGGATGTTTTATTTCAGGTTGTGACGTCAGACAGCATGGTCCAATCTGAGCTCCCGCCAGCTGCAGCCACGCCCATTCACCAGCAGCAGCCAATCAGAGCCTGCCGCCGCCTCGCTCCTCCTGTCGTCCCTCTGCCCAGGTGAGCCGACCAAAGGAAGACTGTGATCTTGTAAATGATCAATGATAATAAACACTTACAGGATGTTTGTTCCTGTTTATCAATAATTTTAAGATTTTTTTTATTTATTTTTGTCTTCCAAAAATATTTCCTGTCCTCAGAAATTTGAATATTGCAATAAAAATTCAGTATTTGAAACTCATTTTATATGTTCCAGTTAATGTTTTGCAGTGTGTGCATCGACAATGATGCATAAGGGCCATTGTAGATAGAGAACAAATATAGGAATAAGTTTCCACCAAAAATCTCAGCAGGAATAAAACCTGCAGCACACAGAGCCGATGTCATCAGTCTGTGGCTCAGAAATAAAAAGGTTGGAAACTTAAAATTTCCAGAAAAAAAAACTGAATCATTTTGAGAATAATCACATAAATTGTCTAGAAATAAGTTGGATATTTCTGAGTATGAAAAGTTGGAAATTTGCTAGAAGAAACTCTTCAAAACAAAACTCGACTTTTGCAAATCAGAAATTACCAAAAAATTTCCGAGTTATTAGGCAGAAATTCACTCCTGTATTTTTACTCTAATGGGTTTGATGCACAGTCAAAGCATGAGTTTGTCTTTGTTTTTGTCTTGTAGTTTGTTAAATCTCGTCCTGACCTCCGTTTTTCTGTTGTTTTTTTGTAGCCCCGTCCCTGTGCCAATCATCAAAACAGACAGCCACCCCCCGCCAACGAGCGTTCCCCCAGTAACAGGCGCTAACGAGCTGAAACCTTGTCCCTCCCCCTTCAGGATGAAACCAGCTGCAGGCCTGCAGGAAAGGTGAGCGCACAGGAAGTGTTTAATAAACTTAGGAACTAAAATAAATCCCAAATATTCCTTTAATCTGAGATCTTATTCTCCCTTAAATCAATTTATTTTAATTTATCGTCATTTACCAACAGTTTAGCCAGTCGACTGAAATAAAAACTACATTAAATCTCTTAATTTGACCTTTTCAGATCCGCTTTATGGTTTATATTGAGAAACATGATGGAGCAAAAATAACTGGGCTCGTTTATGGAACAAAATAATTAGAAAACAGGAAGAAATGTGGAAACGTTTATAATGTTTGGAGGGGAAAACCGTCCTAATGAGCCACCAGAACAATACGCTGTGTGTGTTTAGAGTACAGTGACCTCTGACCTCTGATTGTTGAAGCAATCAGGTGTTCGGTTCTGTACGTGCTGCAGAAGAGGCGACATGAGGATTTGTCTTTTTCATTTTTATCCCCATTTACTTGATTTTTAGCAGTTTTTACAGAAAACAACAGAAGAATTAAATTTTTGTTTGTGTAGTTTTAGAAACTTTTATAGGCTGGAAAACCAAAAGAGATCATCTCTGTCTGGACATTTTTCCATTTATTTTTCCAAGGATTTAGAATTTTATCTCGATAATATTCTGATAACAAAGGCTATTAAAATTAATCTATTTATTACAAATTTTTATGACTAATTTTTATTACTAACTTTTAGCTAACTGTAAGAAACACAAATACTGTTAATGGAAACATTTCTCCAAAAAAAAAACAAAAAACATTTTGTTACAAGAACACAGTTGTAGTAACATGAAAATTTAGTCATATGACAGTAAAGTTAGAGTAATGCAAGAATAAAGTAATAATGGGGGAATAAAGTAGTAGTTTTATGAAAACTAAAACAAAAAACTAAAAATATAATCATTCAATTAATTAATATGCTATTAGAAGCCATTTGAAACAGGCATAAATGACACTTTTTATGCATATTTTATTGGAACTTTGCATTAAACCCATTCAAACAAATTGTCTAGAAGTAACTGGGAAATCTCTGCATAGCAAAAGTTGAAAATTTGCTAGAGAAACCCAGAAATTTTTTAAATTAATCTCTTAAATTTTCGAGAGAAAAAGTGGAAACTCCTGAGCATTAAAAGTCAAAAACTTGGAAAAAAAAAAAACCTCTGAAATGTTAGATAAATTTCTAAAATTGTCTAGAAAAAACTTGGAAATTTCTGAGCCTGAAAATGTCTCACCTTCACCTTCCTGAAGTCTTCCTCAATTTGAAGCAGCTATTTCAGGGATGTTTCTCCCCACTCGGTTTATGACGGAGACATTTATGATATTTTTAGCACCTTTGGAAATGTTCCATTAAACTTAGCGAAGAGGAGCAGGTTTAATTTTGGATTATTTTGGTTTAGTTTAATCATTTCCTGATTAGTTATTTTCTGTTTCCTTTCAAAAATGATTCACTTCAATCTTCTGTAACGTTTATTTATTTTTTCTGTTGGTAAATTTGATTTTAAATTTTAAAAATCTGATCATTTCAGCTCTCTGATGAAATTATTTTTTAAAATAAATCTATTTTTAATGCTGAAACGTACTGTAGTTAGTAAGCAGGGCTGAATAATACGGCTTAATTATAACATCTAAACAAATTTTCATACCAGATCCAATTTTAGACTTTTTTTTCTCGCTTTCTTTGCTAAATAAGAATTTACAAATGACAGAAAATATTTCCAAAAGTAGTTTTTAGTTCATTATGCAACAGTTGTAGGACCAGACTGTGAGAAGACTTTGTGTTTAATTATTAGAAAAAGGTCATAATATTTGCAGAAAAAAGACACAATTTGAATAATATAGTTTTTGTCTTTTGTGTTGGAGTTCTGATAATATTACAACTCTATTCCCCAAAAAGTACAAGTTTATTATGTTTATTTTCATGATATATTTTTACCACGTAATAAAATTGGTAAAAATCTGCTTTGTTTTGTTTTAGTTGAAACATTTCAGATAAAAACAGAAACAACTGAAGTATCTTCTTCTGGATTTTGAGTTTTAAACTGTTGCATCATTTCTACCATGAAGCCACATATTGTAACAGATTTTAATCTCTCATCTGTAACGGCGTCGGTTTCCTAAGTATTAATGATCTCTTCCGCTCCCATAATGTTAACAATTTGAGGCGTGTTTTTAAATAAGGATGCTCGGCTTATGTAAGGCTCATTGTTTAAATTTTTTCATTCTTCTGCTCGGCTCTGAAGGAGAATAATGATGTTCTTCTGGACTTCAGTTAGCAGGGCTTCCTTCAACCATTCTGCTTCTGAGCTTAAATCCTGGTGAAATAATTGAGCTTTAAAGCAGAAAAAAAAAATTTTCTCCAAAGGTAAAATTCTAAAGATGAATTTGATTAGAATGAAGAAGTAAGTATGATGAGCAGCAGCACATTATCTATTGTTACTGCCATCATATTCATCAAATGTATTTGTTTTATACGTAAAACAGTTCGTACAGAGAAATTTAAAAAGAAAAGCTCCAAAATTCACCCTTTCCCCATTTCAGCAACAAGGCATTTCAAAGTGGTTTACATTATAAAAACATAACAAACACAGCTTGAGATTGTAATTAAAATTAAACATTTTCAGTTAAATACATAGAAAGGAAAGAATATTGCAAAAGTAAATATGTCAGGTATAAAAACTACATGTTGAACTTTTTCTTTAGATTAGCTTTTTTCATTTTAATCCCATTCATCATTAGTTTAGATTAGATTTAATAGTTTTTTAAAATTCAAACAAGGTCAGGTGTTTGCAACAAGATTATTAAAGAAGAACAGCAGAAATATGTAAATTTATCAATTTTAGACACTAAATCTTTATTTAAGTGACTTCTGCAGTGTCAGAATTATTCAATTGTTCGAACAGGGATCTTTCTAAAAGCGCACGTTTCTAAATCTGGAGGTAAAACACCTAAACTATCTGGACTGTTGAGGTTTATTGCATGTTAAAGGTTCAGAGGCCCTGAATGTTTCTGGAGACGCTGCAGGAAGCTTCGTTTGTGATCTTAAAGTTAAACCAACAGTTGCTACTCAGACGCTGCATTTCCATCTGCTGTGTCTTTAGCAGCTCTTTAAAACCCGTCTGCAGCTCATTTCCTGATGCTAAGTAGTTTCACATCTGTAAAGAAAACATCTTTATCGACGCCTCAGCTCGGTGCTGAGCTCTTTATTTAATCTGCTGCTGTGGTCTCTTCCTCTGAGAAGCAACGAACCTGAACGCCGGACGCCATTTTGTTCTGGTTGTTTGATTGGATGGGCGGGTGGAGCAGGGAGAACCCTTGGTGTTTCTTAAGGTAACAAAAGGAAGGAAGATTTGAGGCTCAGGAGTGAGAACAGGATGTTTTTCTGGTGTCTGTTAGAGTGTGTGTTGTCCACTCTGGATGCCAGCCAATCAGCAATCAAACAAATTGGAAGCAACGGCATCCTGGGGGGGAAACCGGCCAACACGTAGCCAGACAAAGGCCGGGTCAGCCCACTCATGTTAACCCACCAAAGCACTCTGTTGTATTTTACATAACTTGTTCTTTACAGCAAGAAAAAGCTGCTAAACCCAGAGGAGGTCAGTGTCAGGTGCTCATCATCAGGAAAATGATAAACCTCTGGACAAACATGGTTCCACTTATTATAAAAGCTTAAAGAGATGGATACTTTGTGTTGTTCTCAACATTTTCAGTAAGAATTTTAACTTAATTACAAATAAAACGTCTCCATCTGCATCAAACACCTGTGCTGTACGGGCAAAATTGGTATCATTCTTGAATTGCATTTGAGGGACACATGAAATCAGTCCCAGAGCCACAAATGGCCCCAGAACCACACTTTTTACACCCCTGGTTTAAACACTGCTAGTTCAGCCAGTGTTAAATGCTATCCTCTTATCTAACCAGACAATCACAACATCTTCTTTGTTTGGAGGAACTTTCTCTCTGAGGTAGACGGGGAGGGAAAAAGAAAATGCCTAATGATGCTATATGCTAGCTGCACTAATGCTACATGCTAGCTTTAGTGCTACATGCTAGTCATGCTAGTCATTAGTGCTAGCTGCACTAGTCATACTAGCATGTATGACTAGTGCAGCTAGTCATACATGCTATGACACCGATGTTTGAGAGCAACAGAAAAATGTCAGGAAAGCTGCTGAATCTGCAGCAGTGATGTTGTAAACGTCCCAGTCAACCTAAGCTAACGCTATCTGTGTAAATATTAGCTTCACAGACACATGACATTTTTAAGTTATATTTGTTTTCCTGAAGCCTTGTACACACACTGCCAGGTCTTTATAAAAACTAATTAATCCGCCACATAAATAAAATAAAATAAAATCATACACACAGTATCGGTTTCAGAAAAGTTTTGCTGTGAGCGTTGTTGTAAACATGCCAAACCCATAGGGGGCAGTATAGCACAAGGCTAAAACCTGTCAGCCAATCAGAGTCCTTCAAAACAATCACAACTTCCCATTAGGAATAAAACAGGAGATTCATTGGTGTGGACATATAGGTTGAACTACTTTTAAATTATTAGAATGTGAAGTTAATAAAACACAAGACTATACTGACTGAGAATCATGTCAAAAAGAAAGTATGTGGATGTATTGGTGCTTTATTTGTCACAGACGTGTGGAAATTGTCTTTCATGACTTTCAGTGGGGTTTTTGTGTGGATGAAAGGCCAAAACGCATAAAAATGTATTCAATTTTCCAGATATCCGACTATGTGTGGACTAAGTATTTTTATAGAGTTTGAAACTTATCTGGACAGAGCTTAAGAGTCGTAATTCCCTTGGCCTGATGTTCTCATGAACTGAAATATTAAGCTTTAACCTCACTGAAGTGAAAGAACCTCCATCTATCATCAGTTTTATCAGGTTTCCTTTTGAGCCATAAATCCTAAAAGTCTTAAACTTCCAATAAAACTCAGGAAGGAAGCGAGAGACTTTCCACTCCTGACACTAATCCATGTGTCCTCTCCCATCCTTCCTGCGCAGACGGGGCTCTAACGTGTCCCTGGTGCTGGACATGTCGGCTCTCGGATCGGTGGAACCCCTCAATGTTTCCGTGGTAACCCCCAGAGAGACGGCGGCCCGAGAGTACCTGCTGTCGGCCGGACGACCGCTGACACGGCAACAGCTTCGTGACGTCGTCAGCAACACGCACAAGCTGCACGTCGAGTTCGCTGTGAGTCCGTTTAAACGGTTTATTACTCCACAGAAACACATTTTAGATGTGCTGATGAAAACTACACAATGTTTGTATTTATTTTATACATATTAGAAGAACCTTTTATCTTCACCGAAGGATTAGTTAAGTTATTTAAATTTCTTTAAACCTTTCCCATGTCAGGACGAGTGCTGAAAAGCATGAACACAATCGCTTTAAAGGGGAATTATTATGAAAATTCTCATCCTGCTTGTTTTTATACTTCAATTTGGACCTCAGCTGCTTCTAGAAACAGTCCAAGCACTTAAAAAAAACCCTAGTTAATGTTTTTTGGTGTCTGGAAAATGAGACGTTTCAGAAACCTCCCAATTGTCAAGTCGCATTCGAAGGGCACTGCTCAGTTACTTAGCAACTCTAGCAGAGTCCTGCCCGTTACCTAGCAACCCCAACGGAGTTCCAACACGTTTGGCCAGCTGGAGTGGAAACGTTGAGTTGGGGGCGTGGCCAGCAGCAGCTTATTTCGATTTAAAGTGACAAGACGCTTTAAAAGAGCTCATTCTGAACTGAGCAGAATAAAATCTCATTATTTGAGAATGATTTTGTGCAAAAACATTTATGTTTTATATCACCTATAGATCTATCCTAACCTGTTCAAGGAAGCTTATAGGTCACCTTTCATTTTTACAAAGTAAATAAAAGTAGAAAAAATGGCAAAAAACTTTTCTGGAATCTTTTCAGATTCAGGAAGCTAAAGAACAAACATGTTTATGAATCTCTTAGAGGCAGGAAACTTTGTTCAGTCAGAATATATTTAGCTATCAGTTCACTCAGGAATCTGATCAAAGTAAAGAAATGCTTAAAGATTTTGTTTAAACATAGAAATATGATCAGGAATCTGCTCAATGATGGGGATCTGATTACAGTTCAGAAATTGTTTAGAACTGATGTCTGTTCATTTTATGGGTATCTGTGTGAGGAAATAGGAATATATTTAGATTCTGGAATAGGAATTTGTTCATAGCAAGTTACTAGTTCAACATCCGGAGTCTGTTCAGCTTTGGTATCTAGAATTTGATCCGGTAAAGGAATCCGTGTGAAATTTAGCCAAAATCCAAAGAAGAATTAACCAGAACCCAGGAAGTAGAGCTGCTTGAAGGGGAAAAAAGTCATTTTGTGCAGACATGGAAATTTCTTGAGGCCCATTTTTCACAGATTTTCTCTTTGTTTGGCCTTTTTCAGTTTTGTGGTTTTCCACCTCAGATGCATAAAAACTACTCCGGCTAATCAGACTAGTTTGTATGAACCAGAAGATACGATTCCAGAGGTCATCAGGTTCAGATTGCCTCGTCGTAAACATGATCGATCAGTGTCTATGATGTTCAGTTTATCTTGAGGGTAACATGTTGTCACTAACGCCCGTCTTTTCTCCCATCTCAGGAAATCCCAATGAATTTTATCGACCCTAAGGAGCTGGATATCCCAAACCACGGCACTAAGAACAGATATAAGACCATTCTGCCCAGTAAGTCCTCCATGTTGCTAAGAAGCAGCAACTCTTCCAAAACATCTCATTGTCTCTTGAACCAAGAAGTTGTCAAAGGTTAACATTCCCAAAGACAGGGAATATTTCACCCTCCCACTTCCAATAATTTTACTCTGAGCACAGTTTGTTCTCACAGTCGGACACTTACTCTGATTAAAATGTTACATAATGAACAATTTCTGGATTGTGCACTCATGTTTTGTAGGGTGGGAGGTGAGGTTATCAGAAACAGGAGTGTTCCTTCCTGCAGCCAATCAGGAGAAAGGAATGTTCACCTAAAGCTGCTGTCAATCAGATCTCTTCCTGTGGTCCACTTTCTGTTTTCTTTGCAAAGTGTTCATTGTGCTGTGCAGGGCTGTGGTCAGTCCTAACAGGTCTGCCGATCTGCTGTGACGGATCTGTCAAATCCAGAGTAATCCCTGCTAATCGATCCTAAGCACTTCACCTGGGTCAGGAGTTCAGGGTTTAAAGGAGCTGTTTCCTAATTAGGGCTTTGATCTTTCACAGTGACATTTAAACTTTAAACACCTTTACTGGTCACTAATTATGTAAAATCAACACGATAAATCAGTTGAACTGAGACAGCAACATGTGGATCCAGTTTTCAGCTTCGCTGACATATGGAGTTCCTCAAGGCTTCATTATAAGCCTGTCGGTTTTTATCGTAAATGTATCTTTGGCATCAAATTTTCTACCGATTTACTAAACATATTTATGCCCCACATGGTGGCAGCATGTTGGGCTAAAGTTAAGCTAAATCTGTTAGCCAATGGACATGTTACTGTAGAGTATCATCTCTGCTTATTGGGTATTGAGATGCTTGCAACAATCTTCAGTCAGAGGCCTTTTCAGATTTGTTGCAAGACTGACTGCTACTGGAGATCCTTCCTGCCCACAGGATTACCATCCAAAACGACTCTTTGAAGTTACTTTGATGATACAAATTCTGGCAGAAATTTGGGATAAATAAAGTATTTTTTTATTGAATTAGAAAGAAAACTAAAGATTTCTTACAGCTTCACAAACACAAAGCCCTGTTGGTGGTTTTGTGTTTGTGTTTAGGTTTTACTTCAGGATTCTGGCCTCTTAATGATCCGGCCTCAGTGATATGGAAGAACTTCCACGTCCTGAGACTCCACACAATGCCGACTCTAGATTTTGTAGCAGTTGAACCAAAAGACATCAATCCACAGCTCTACTATGTAGCATTCAAATTCCTAGTCAGAGTCTTTATCAGGTATTAAATAAAATATACCAGAGTTTAAGCTTTGAAACAAATGGAGTCTAAAATGTTTCACTTCGCCCGTTCTCTTTCTTTTCCTCACCTTTTCTTTTTGTCTTAGATCCTCACTCCAGAGTGATCCTGAAGTCAAAGAGCTGCAATGATCTTCTGAGTTCCTACATCAATGCCAACTACATAAGAGTGAGTAGCAACTGTCATCCACAAAATTTCAGTCAGTTGGTGTAAAGTTTTATTGAACTATTAGCTGTATTTATTTATCTAATTGTGTATTTTGTTGATTTTTTTCCAATCATTATGCTCACTGGGCGTGACCATGAATAATTTTGTGGCATTTTTTTGCACCTCCTGTCTATTTGCAAACAGTTTTCGGTGACAAAAATATTGAATTTTACAGAACATATCTGAAGTAGAGATTTATAAAACCCAATTTTTTGATTGATCTGGAAATATTTATTGTAGAGCTGAAGATTTATTGAGAGGGAAAAAAGGAACCATCTAATAACAGCATGTAGCTTCAGTTATTATAGTTAGAAACTAGAGATCAGGTCTGAAATCTGAACCTTCAGAGACACATAAAGTCAGTTACAAAGACAGACTTTTACCACCTGAACAACATTCCTGGATTAAAGGACTCATGTCTCAGAAAGACCCAGAGAAACTCATCCATGCACTTTTTTGTAGTCACATTCATTACAAGTCTTCACAGGTCTGCCTAAAAAAATCTGAACTCTGCTGCAGACATTTTGACTAAAACACTCTGTAGCTCACAGAATAAACTTGTCCTGTTAGTTTATAAATCACTGAATGTTGTAACACCACAACACATTAAAGATCTGCATTCCCAGAACCAGAGCCAAACATGCAGAAGCAGCAATCAGCTTCTATGCACCACAAATCTGGAACAAACTCCCAGAAACCACAAAACAGCTGAAACAATGAGTTCCATTAAATCATTACTAAAACCCATCTGTTTAGTTAGTTTTGATTAATAATGACTGGAAAATTGATTAATTTTGGTCTGTATTTCATCTTTTATTACTGTCCTTTATTGTAATGTTTCTTTCTTGTTTTTTCATGTTTTTATCATATAATCATATGTTACTAATAACTAATATACTTTTACCAGACAGAACAAATTATGAGAATCTGAAAATTTGCATTGAGTTTTAGGTTGTTGTGTCTGCGTCTCTGGGATGTTTTGTCTGTTTTTCTCCATCAGTTGAGAAGGAAAATAAAAACCCAAACCGTGAAGGACTCTGTCATTAACCTGGAATGTCTGCAGCGTTTCTTTGTTCTTCTGGATTCCTCGTGTTGAAACGTTGTGAAAGTGAACTCCCGCTGCAGTCTGTAATGCTGCTCTCAGACTTTCACACAATGGAGCGCCTTCCTGTCAGGAAACTCTGCAGAAACAGTTTAAACTGTCACACTTGAACTCTTTGTCGTACTGTACATAATATCTCTGAAGCTGACTGGGAGAAAACTTTCCCCAGGGTGGGCTCAAAAACACGGGGCACTTTGTATTTATGTGAATAAATGTAAAAAAAATGTAAGATTTCAGAGTAAAACTGCGGTGGCTCTTTTTTAGGGTTACCTAGGCGACAGCAGGGCCTTCATCGCCACTCAGGGCCCCATGGTGAACACGGTGAACGACTTCTGGCAGATGGCGTGGCAGGAGGAGTCGCCCGTCATCGTCATGATCACCAAGCTGAAGGAGAAGAACGAGGTAACAGGAGGAGGACAATCCCTTCATCATCCATCCATTTAGTTCACTACCAAGCAATGAAAAACTGATCATTTTGAATCAGATGCAAAATACCAAGAAGGTTTTGTTTTTTGTATTTTCAGTTTTAGCCTTGAACCAGAAATACAAAATGCAAAAATGGGCTGCAGAACAGTTTAATTTTAATATTCACGTCACCCAGAAATTGTTCTACGTGGAAAAGTGAAGGTAGTCTTATGACAGATGTTATGTAGACGCCACACAGCAGCGCTCTGTTTATGGGATAAATATATCGTACATATCCGATTTAGATTTATGTGCTCTGTGTGTCTGCAGAAGTGTGTCCTGTACTGGCCGGAGAAGAGGGGGATCTACGGGAAGGTGGAGGTTCTGGTGAACGGCATCAGGGAGTGTGAGCACTACGCCACCCGCAGCCTCGTGCTGAAGGTAGGCCCTCCTTTCCCCTGCAGAGTGATGATGAACCCGGCTTCAGGTTCAGTTCTTTCCTCTCCTGTGTCTCTGAGCAGTGTGGGAATCAAACCCGCGTCCTGCAGCATTACTGGTACACATCGTGGCCTGACCACAAAACCCCGGACTCGGCGCTGCCGCTGCTGCAGCTCATGGCTGATGTTGAGGCTGAGAGACGCACCGCCGCCTGTGTGGGGCCCGTCATCGTCCACTGCAGGTACCGACTCAAGTTTTGCTCCCACTGCCGATAAAATGTCTGAAAACACTGAAAACACTCAACCTGTGTTTGCAGTGCTGGGATTGGCCGGACGGGATGCTTCATCGCCACGACGATAGGCTGCCGGCAGCTGCAGGTGGAGGGGGTGGTGGACGTGCTAAACATCACCTGCCAGCTCCGAGCCGACAGGTAAAAACAGCTTAAAACTCTGAGAGACGTCAGAAAGCTCATTATCTGAGCCTCTGGTTGCAGCTACACTGCAAAAACACAAAAAAAATCTTACCAAGTATTTTCTCTAGTTTCAAGTACAAATATCTTAGTAAACTGAAATCCGTTTTGTATGGCCCCTCCATCTTTGTTTCTGTATCATCTGGTTCTGCCTCAGAATGACCATCAGCGCCCTCTGCTGGATGGCAGCCAAACTACAATGCTAAAAGAAGGTCTAAGCAAATCTAGTAAGCCAGTAATTGGCAGTTGATTCTTTGCAGCCCTAAAGTAAACAATAATTTCAGTTATGCCTTTATAACTCAAACCATACATATTCTGTTCTACATAATTTGCACTTATGGTTTAGATTTTCTCTTATTTATCTCGAAGTTTTTAAGCTTCATTTTCAGCTCATTGAAGCACTTCAAACACTTTGTCAGTAACTTACCTGTAATGTTTATTTCTGCTTCAAATAACAAACTTTATATTTACTAGATTCATTAATAATTGCCTTAATTGAGAGTAATTAAAAAAAATCTACCTGTAAAGTTGTGATGTTCAGTGTGATGCGGTCCAAAAAAATAAGGAAATAGACAAGTATAAAGTAATATAAAGTCAGCCTAGCTTTAATGTAGCATTTTAGGTTATTTAAATAAATGGTAACCAGAGTTTTGTGTTCCCTTTTGGGCAGAGGAGGTATGATCCAAACAGGTGAGCAGTACGAGTTCGTGCATCACGCCCTGAGTCTGTACGAGGCGCGGCTGTCGGCTGAATCCGGCCAGTGAGTGCCTGCCTCCCGCCGCCCTCTGACCTCCGACCTCGGCTGTTAACGGAAACGTCTCATGAGCTTTGGAAGTTCTCTGCCACCAGGGGGAGACTCTGAGACTGAAGGGTGATTTAGTGAGCAGAGACTGGAGAAGAAAAGAGGGGAAGGTAAACTTCAACACTCGGGATGTACCCCTTCTTCTTCTTCTTCTTCTTTTTTTTGGCGCTCGATGGACTTCTGTCGCCCAGCCGACTATGGATGGTTTTTAGAGAAACTGACTGGACACGTCTCTCTGTGTCTAATAGGATTTTAAATTCTTTTGTAATGTGAAGTTCTTCTCAGAAAACTATTGGAAAATGACTGTTACCTGGTTTAGTTGTAGCTGCTGTGGAAATATTTATCCCTGTTTTTGCAATTTACTCTGGAATTTCATCACATGGAAATCGTCTTGTTTAACAACAGGGTTTACATTGAGAAATGTTTTACATTTTTGGCATCTTTTATCATGTTTATGTTCATTCACTTTTAAAAATCCAAGTGGGAAATTGACAGAATATTATCCGAAACGCGTCCAGGATTTTACGATAATCATTAAGTTGCCAGACAATCCAAAACATCATTAAACCATCTGAAAATACAGAAGTGAATGAGTTAAACTTTACCTTGTTTAAACGTTTTTGTGTTTAAATGCTTTTTAAAAGGTTCAAAATTAAGCGAAAGTGACTTTTTAGAATTACTAAATTCATTTTTCAGTCATGTTTTATTTTATTTTATTTTTTTATGACAAACTGACAAAAAACACTGAGGCACCCAGATGGAAAAAGCTAGCTATAAAAAGCTGAGTAGCTTTTTTGTGTCTGTCATTTGTAACCGCAAATTTCACACCAGTTTTCTGGATGAAATTCGTATCATAGGTCTTAAAAACAATTCATTATGGTTTTAAAAAGTATTCAAAAATCTGAAATTATAGTTGGTGAAACCTGCAGAAACCCTGAAAATGCACACAGTTACTACATTTAATCATATTTTCAAATTTGCTGGCTCTCTTGTGGCTCCAACAGTGGAGAAACAAGTAAAAATAATGTTTACATAATGCCAGTTTTGTTTTTGTAACATCATTAATTGGAACTTATTGAGACAATAAATCAAAATTCTTATCATGATGAGGGATTTTTACAATAAATGATTAAAAACGATAAATTCTTCTAGAGTGAAGAATTCAACTGCAGTAGCCATCGTTCAACCTATGGGGGCAGCACTGAGACGGATTTATGCAAAATATTCCAGAAGAAAACAAATTTACACAAAAAAAGGTCGAAATTTGAACAGAGACATAAAGTTATAAAACCCTAAATAACCAATATGGGCAATTTAATGTCAAAAATAAGTTGATTTTAGGGTTAGTTACACTAAATGTAACACAAATTCAAAATAACGCATTTATCTCAGCCTTCCCTGCAATATCGCCAGTAAGGCTACTTTCAACTACAAGTGGATTTTAACGCAACTTTTACAGCGGGATTTACTGATGTCTGCACATATATATATAAAAAAGAACTGAGTCGTATATATTTTTACACAGTTAACTGAAAATATTGGCTGGTGCTAACCAAGGACTTAAACCAGTTTAGCACTGGAAACGGTTTATTGGATGACATGTAAACCAAACCACATTCAAATTAGACAGTTTCTCCTGGGTGCTGAACTTTAGTTTTTGTCAGTTAGTCATAATAATAATAATAATAATAATAATAATAATCCAGTTTAATCTACTGGTTCTGAGCGCCTACATGGAGCTTTTTTCAGCCATAAAATAAATGTTTAAAGCTCCCAGTTGGATAATAAGCTTCTGCTGCAAAGGAAGCAATTAGTTGATTTTAGCTTTAGTAGCTCCGTGTTGTATGCTTTAACGTTGAAGCAAATAGTTGCTGTAGATGACTCGCCTTTTTGATGCAATATTTAGTTCAAACAATTGCTAATAATGTTTGTAAAATATTTACTTTTTTACTCTGCAATAAATGCAGTCAGAGAGCCAGAGCTGCATTGGTTAAAAATAAAAAATAATGAAACATTTGATGGTAGAAAAAAGATGTTTAACGAAACAAAATGGATAGATCTCATAAAAAAGTTTGGTTTTGTTTCCATCCAATTTTCAGACATAAAAGGAGAATATAAACTATTATTATTATTAGAAAATGGCCGCTTCACTTTAGTTTTTTATCATCTGGTTTTATCCCAGTCATGTTTATTCATCAGAAACATCAGATTTGATTTGCTATTTTTTGTAATAAATCCAGAAAAAAGTCAAATAAAATCCACCTAAATAAAAAAAAACATTAAATATATATATATATATTTTCATCAACTTTTCCGTGTTTAATTCTTAAAAATGTTACCTTAAGAAGTTAAAGATGTGCTCTCTAGACTTGTTGCATTATCCATATAACTACTGTTAAAGAAATATAGTTTAATAAAAATCTTTACACTCCAACGGTGATGGTAACCCCGCTTTAAACCAAAAAATGTGAAATAATCTGAAGCAGTGGTGCAGGATTTTCATCAGTGTTCTGTTGTAATACATTATTTTGCTGCGTCAAAGTAATATGTTTATTTTTACATGTTTTTAACCATATTTCTTAACCATTTTTTCATTCTACAAACCTAATTTTCTTTGATAAGGTTAGCAAGAGCCAAGTGGAAACCCATATGTATCAAAATGAGGAGAGAAAAAACACATATAAACAAGTAAATATGATCCAAAGTGTTTCAATTAAGAAATTATAAAAAAAAAATAAAAATGTAATTGTGCATTTTAGAGCAGATTGTGATGAAGCTGAAATATTGAAATGTTTTATGTTTGTTTCCAGTGTTTCATGGAGCTTAGATTTCTAATGTAATGCCAGTAACGAAGAACATGAGCTACTCTAGCGTCTGATTGGCTCTCTGTGTGAACGGGACCACCTGTACAGTACCTGTACATATAAGTGCTATTAAACTTGTGTGTGGAGTTGAATTTCAATCCATTTGCCACAAACACAAGTGTCTTGCTGCTAAAACTGGGATTGTTGGGACCGAATTAGACAGACCGCAAAGAAGAAAAAAACTTTTTCTATGTACAGATATATTTTTATTTACTTCTTTCATTATGACACAATCATGGGACATGAAACTTTGGACTACAAAACCCAGCCTGCCTCCTGGGAACACCGTCATGCTCTCTTTTCACTTCGGGCTCATTCAGGGACCGGATGGAAAGTCAGACGTTGGAGTAACGGCCCTGACCGAAGTGAGAGTGAGTTTATCTCAGCGCCCCCTGCAGGAGCTGGTACAACACACACTGCCTCTGACGTAGTATTGTGTCTGTATACTAGGATGTGGTACATGTTGTGTACTTGAGGTTAAATGGACCCTAAATGGTTTGAGTTGGAAGAGAGAATCAATATAGTTATAAATTAAAGCGGCCGGGAACATAAATGTTAACGAGTTAGCATATTTTTAAAATTTTAATTAAACTTTCCCAAACTACAGTTGATTTATCGCAACTCGTTTGACAAAAACAAACATTTAGGTTCTCGGTTTTATGAAAAAAGGAAAGACAATTTCCAAAAGTACTAAAATGGCACCATGTGCTTAATTTGTTGGCCTTTTCACAAATTAGCCTCTTCTGTTGCGATCCATGTTTGTCGATGATGACCAGCTAAATTTGTTTTATTTTTTTTACAATTTTTTTTAATCTGATCCTGTTTTTGGTATAACCAAATTATTTGGACTAAGACTTAAAAAGTGACCCAAAGTCAACAGAAATTTTATTATGAAGCTGTGAAAGGGAAAATAAAATATAACTAAACTGTCCTTTCTGTTCTAATTTGGCTAGTTAAATTAAATCAGATAGAAACAAACAAAAACGACAGCAAAAAAAGCCAAACCAAACCTGGAAACTAGCCTTGAAATCAAAAGCTGTTGAAGGAAACTCTGCGAAGCTGGAAACAGTTGGTTTGATCTGGTTTAAACCGGTTTGAGCTAGCTTCTTTTTAGCGAGCGTTGGCTAACCTAAGAACGGATTTGATCAACTATAAATCAGTAATTGTGCCCAAATGCACAACTCTTACATAACTAATCTAAAACGTTCTCTGTAGTGTTTTTGAGCATCTAAAAAAACAATTTAATCACTAATGACACTTCAGCTAGCTAAAATGGTGTGAGCTAATCCTGAATAAAAGCTGCTTAGAACATCATTCTGTTGTAACTTTGTGGTTCACTGTTAACTTCATGACAAATAAATTTGTCATGAAGTTAACTTAGGGTCCCTTTAAACTGTTTGGACACAACGAATCATCAGTCATCACTTGATGTTGATTAATGCACTACGGTCTAACTAATATACGTATAAAACATGACTTATAATGTACTACAAGCTAACTTGAATGTTGTTAATGGTCCAGAACATTAGCCACTGAGTAGTGGTGTAACCGTATCTACTCTACCCTCATATATATCGTTACCTGTAATCTGTGCAATAAATACGCTGAAGAGAAAAACTGTGGTGTCTTCACAACAACATGACTCCAGTCCTGCCGTATTTATTTTTATTTATTTATTTTATTGCTGACTTTACTTTGGAGCAAAGATGTTCAAAGTGAGGAGTGAGGGCCATTTCTGGGCCCCGGGTTCATTCTGTGCGATCACAGTTAGAGAATAAATTATGACAAAACTACTAAAATTTACCTAGATGCAACACAACACAAAGTGATCATCTTTTCCAAGCTTTCTTGTTTTCTTCTGTTGTCATGGTAACTAGGACCACATATTCCCAAATTCACCCGAATTTGTTTTTAATTGATGTATTAAAACTTCGCTAAACACAGCAAGTGTTTTCAGATGAAGACTGATGTATTGAAGTGAACTGACAAAATATTTTTTTATTGGAGTGAACTGACAAGATATTTTCTAAGTTTTTTTAATTGAGCCCAAAATAAAAAGCAAACTGAAAGCTTTTCATTTAACAAGTAAAAACATTGAAAGATTAATTTCCAACAAAAAAATCAGATTATTTATTTAATTATAATAGTTTATGCTCAGTTGAATAGGTAATAGTTTCCAAAAATGATATTTTTTTGGCGCGCGAGACAAAAAGTTTGGACATTAAACATTAAAAGGTCAGTGTAAGTTGGAAAATGCTCGTTTAGCTTTGCTGGTTGGCATTTTGTGATGCAGCACAGCTTTTATTCCTAGAAACAGCAAAGAGGGCAGCAGGAAGGAAGGAAAGAGGTGTGGATGACTAAATGTAGTCAAACCAGCTGAAACAAAAAGAGTTTGGCCTTTAACCTGCAACAATGGCTGACAAAAGAGTTTACTCCAACATTTGTGACTTAAATTAAGTGTCAGCTTGCAGCCAACACATTTATGACTCATTGAGTTGTAACAATGAGAGCTGCGCTGATATATTTAAAATATGCTATGAGTCGGACGTTCCTGTAATGAAACAATCTCAGGATAATGTTCAAAGGAAATGAGCTGAATGCCGCAAGAATAAAAGTATTTTTACTTTTCTGGTTGAATCAAAAAAAACACCTTTGAGTGCAAATTGCTGAGCTGACTAGAGGTGGTAGGATTATTTATGCAATAAATGCTACTGATTTTAGTCAAATGTCTTATTCTCATTAAAAATATTTTACACATTTTGTCCCACTAAAGATGCATTTTTCTTATGAGAATTTTACATTTAAATAAAAGAATATTTGTGAACTCTTAAAACATGGGGGAAAAAAACTTATTTGTAATCAGTCAACAGGAAATTTTTTACCTTTATGTCTGTTTATTACTGTATCAATTATTCTGACCATTAATTGATGAATCAGACAGAAATAAATGGCACATCATACACATTTTTTATTTAACCACTTATGTCTTTTTTGTACAGTATTAGAAATGCATTAATGATGTAATTAAACACATATTTACTTCCTTTTTTTAAATAAACATTTTACTGCCAAAAATGCAATAATCAAACATTCCTTTAATGAATTTGATTCAGGTGAAAAGAAAATATGCCACATATTTACAGACAAAAGTGTCTTTATTTAAATATTTTTGAGTCTGTATACTCTACATAACAATTAAACGATTAATAAATTAAATTAGTTGACGAGTATTTTAATAATTGATTAATCATAATGTATATAATTAATTGTGATTAATCAATTCCTAATTACTTGTGATTACTAAATTAGTTGAGTATTTTAATAATCAGGATTAATTAGATCAGTCATAATTAACCAATAACCAAATTAGTTGACGATTATTTCAATAATTAAACTTTCAAAATGCTGAGTAATGATGCTCCATTCATGAGCATCTGATGTTTAATTGTTTCTATTTAAAGTAGGAATAAATGTTCTAATTTTATTCTCCAGAAATGGACGTTTTTATCCGTCGCTCTCGCTATACTTTTATCCTCTACCTCTGTTGTGTGAGCAGCTAGGTGTGCTGCGGCGGTGGCAGCAGGACCTATTATTAGTCTGTGTGTAGACCAGCTTTTGGTGCGACTCAGAGTGAGGAAGTCCGTTAGAGTCGGAGCGTCGACACCTCGGACAGACAGGAAGAGCGAGGCGTTCCGCTGCTGAGAGGAAAGGGTCCAGTCTGAGGAGCTCTGAGTCCAGGATGGACACCAAAAGTTTCCCTTTGACCAATTAACTCGAAATAAGGAATTACTTTGTTTCGCAGGACACTTTGTGTTTGTTTCCATCGAAGACGCCAAACGGAGGGAGTATCAGTCTTTAAAACATCTCGGACCTCAGGATTATGGTGGTGCATGCTCCGGCTGTGGATCTGAAGGACGATCAAAATGCTGAAATGTAAAGCTGGAAGTTTCTCCTGCTGCCTGGGGTTCGCCTCGCTGCTGCTGCAGGTCAGTCCAGACAACCAGGACAACATTTACCCAATTCTTTATGCTGATTCAGGGGAAAATGTGTCAAATTTTACAAGACAGGCTACAGTAGAACCAGTTTCCATTGCTGCTGTTCTTCCTTTTGCCTCAAATTCAATTCAAGCTGTTTGTTGTTCTCAGTTTTTCTCAACTTTCTCAAAGTAAAAAAAAGTCAAAACAAAACATGAGGTAGAAGATAAAGATGAGTCACTTATTTTCATTTTTATCTTGGCTAAAAACTCTCAGAGAAATAATGTTTCATTACGTCTGATCATCTCGTTAGAAGAAAACATTTGAGATAGCTTTTTCTTGTTTAGAAACTTTATTTAAAAGGCGTTTTCTGGCTTTTATTCTTTTATTCTGGGTCATGAAATCTGTTATTTGTGCACCAAAGCATTAACTCGAGAAGTAAATGGAAATTTTCTAATAAAATGGCCAAAAATTACTTCTTAAAAATACTTCAAATTACAAAGCCTGAAGTCTGAATCAGAATTTAACTTGAATATTTTAGGAAAGTTTTAGAGGAAACTAAAGTCTGTGTTTTACTGTATTTTGTGGTTTTTATCGTGATGAAGATAATTTAAAACTACTTTGCTGTTTATCAAATGATGCAAACACAAAAACACAAAATTATTTGAAATCCAACATATCAGTTATATGTAGGCCTGACACAGTAATCAGTAATTAATAGCATTATAAATTAAAACAAGCTCAATAATTTCAATTTGTATGATTTATTGTTTTTCTTTTTCTACCAAAAACTGGATAATAAAAGTTTTCATTCTGACTCCTTTATTTGAAGGATAATTTAGTTTACAGAGACTTTATAATTCATTTCATTTGTAGTTTTATTTATTTATTCTGCATATTTAAAATGTCTTCCAGTTCCAGGGTTAAATGTTCATTAGAATTTAAAGTTTATTGATCTTTCTTGTGATTTTATGCTATTATTACTTAAAATGGTCTCAAAACATTATTTATCGCAATAACTTCTGAAACAACTTATCATTCAGCCAAACTTTGCTATTGTGACAGACGTAGTTAGATGAAGAATTAGCTTTTTTAATTACTAACCTGCACACACTAACTACATTAAATTATATTTTTGAGTTTATAGGTATTTGCTGCTCTGATGGAAATCAGATTTAGGATTTATCGTGATAACGATAGTTCGATAATCTTCTCCCTGTAGCTCATTTCTTTATTTAAAACTCCAATGCTGCCATGTTCACATCAAATGTAGCTGCTGATTAGATCCATTAAGTTTCCCTTTTCATGTTTTTGGGGTTTTGCTACATATGAATCCTCTTTTTTCCAGATGAGTTGAAATTGTTGCCTGATTGTGAAGCTCCACCAGTTTGGCATTTGGTATTCTGTTATCCAGCTTGATTTTCCTCTGGATCACTTCCTTCTCTTCCCGTCTCTGTCCTGGACGCTCCGCTGTCGTCTCCGAACTCCCTGAACTTTATCTGTCAATCAACAGGCGGCCGCTTGACCCAAAACCTGACGGCGGCGAGCGGCCATCTTTAAATAGCTGCAACTGATTATCTGTTGCATCAAATTACTTGATTCTCCGCAAAGGAAGAAAAACTAAATTCAGGAAACTTTAATTTGTCCCAATTTATTCATCATGTTCAGATGTTAGACATGTTTTTCCCCTCATGTCTGTCCACGTTGGACAGTATTTTTCCTTTTTATTTTTTTCCTCTTTGCTTTTTTCACTTTATTCTCCTTCCCCTTTTTTGTTTTTCATTTTCCCCCTTTTCTTTTTTGCTTTTAATCCTTTTTTCATTTTTCTTTTTCATTTTTTTCCTCTTCCCCCTTTTCTCTGTTTTTATTTTTACTCTTTTTCTATCCCTTTTTTCTTTTTTATTCTTCTTTTCTTTCTTGACTTTATTCTTCCCCCCCTTTCTCCCTTTTATCTTTTCCCGATTTCTATTTGTATTTTTTCCTTTTCCCCTCCTTTTTCTACTTTCCCATTTTTCTCCTTTCTTTGAACAAATAGTTTTTTTTCTTCTAAAGTTTCATGTTTTATAATTTGCTCCTATCCAGACCAGTTTCCACGACAGATGTGATAAATTGAACCTGGAATCTTTTTAAAGATCTTTAAGTCTTTTAACCTGTGATGAGGAACCTCCACATTTATCAATAATTACTAACAGAGCACTTTTCATACAAACTAACACAAAGTGCTTTGCAGCAGGTCACTGATCAAACTAACTATAAA